GCGGCAGCTCCTGCCAGTCTGGCACTCACCCCCTGGGCTGGCACCTGCATGGTGCTAAGTGCCTAAGCACCCCCTCAAAGGCGGGAACTTTGAAAGGGTTCACATACCAGAGTCTGGGAGCCTCTGATTCATTTTATGAACTGTCAGCGGAATACACATGCCAGATCTACTCTGGGGAAACAAAATCACAGATCTACCATCCCAATTTGTGGGAAATTATTTCTTGAACCACTGGGACTTTTTCTACAGTAAAATTAACAGGATCTGGCCCAAAAGACTATAGAAAATTCAGAGCACTTTTAAAAGCAAAAATACAGGAACAAAACTGTTACAGCATATTCCAAAAAATGTGATTTCAACAACACAACATGAACTCATCTTGTACCATCTCTGGACGTGCTTACACATTTCTGGATACAGTGCACGCATGCAGGCGTCTAAAACTGAAGTACAAAATCACTTACTTACCAGTTTCTGGTTTTTGTAGTACATTTCAAGTCATCAAACACAAAATTAGTTTCAATTCTGTTTACATCATAACAACGTTGCATCATTTATAAAATGCTGTGAAAACATGTCTCACCATCTTCTGGACTTAAAGACTTCAGGAGGATAATGGACTGTTTTTCAATAATAGTGGTAGGTACCACAATCATTCTAGCTAAGCAGCTATACCACAGACAGTGAGACCCCATGCCTTGTAGGTGGTGCTGGGACAGCAAGAGGAGCTTGTCACTTCTGTCTGCACTTTCAAACATCTTCAAAGACATGAGCTCTGGATCTCTGACCACTGTAGGCAGAATGCCTTCTCGAACCTCCTGCCTCTGATATTTTCCACACCTTGCCCATAATAATGATATTGTTCTTAATTTTTCAGTCATCCTTATCTGTATCGAAGAACCAAAGTCCAGTAAAGACTATCTAAGAATTGGGTCAAATTTAATGGGCTTTGAATTAGGCTATAAAGGAGAAAGGAAAAAGAAAAGGACAAAAGAGAAGCCAAGACTCTCATAAAGCTCTGAACAAACTGTGTGCTAGTCAAATACTGGGGGGAAAAACCTTCCTGTTCCTTCATATTTACTGCTAAAATGGATTAAAAAAATTAGAAATGTAGGGAATGAACTAAAGACCTGGCATTAGAGCTGGATGGGAAAATCAGTGGGTCTGATTATTAACAAGACTCTAAATGTACTCAAGTTGTCAGTGTCAACACCTTGAACCTCATGCCTATTAAACAGACCTGGAATTATTTGATGAGTATTATGACACACTCAATACATGCTTTCGTTTATATTCATGGCAACGATTTCCAATAAAGCTCTACTGCTTCACCTCCACTTCCCTCCTCCCCTTCACTCTTCCTCTCTCTCCTGCTGTAGCTACTAAAAAGAGTGCAAACACTGAGAGGAGGTATCCACTGACAACTACAGGCTTTGCATATTGATCAGTTGCTGAGGTTGCCACACTTCAAACAGGAAGGAAAGAATCAAAAAGGAAGAAATGATAAATGTCAACTGTCTGGGGGAGCCACTGTCAGGACCCATGCCCCTACCAGATTTTTAAAAAAAGAACCAAACAGCTCATTTGACAGCATCACAGCTTGATGCAAGGCTAGCCCAAATCCTAAGACATGTCTGTTGCTCATTCATTCTGCCCCAGCCTTCCAGACACAGCACAGCCCTCGCACATGCCCGTACCGTAGCAATGGACTCCGTCTCCAGTGTAGCCCTCCAGGCATTTACAGACGTAGCCCCCTTCCGTATTGATACAGCCCGACACGTTTCGATTACAACGGTCCATATTTACAGCACACTCATCAACATCTGTGAGACAAAACAAGGAGACGGGACACATGGGTCATGAAACCATCAGGTAAATCGATAAAAAGAAATGTCTACATCATGAATCTCCCCCAGACTATGCTGTCACTTGCCATTTGTGCATCTGAAGCAAATGGGAAGAGAAGGGCTTTGTGGTCTTTTCTTGGTATGAAATTTGATGGGGATGTTCTAAAGAGCCTAAGACAGTCAACCAGCTACTTTCAGCTGGAGACCTAGAGGTTCCACAAATACCACTTACTTCAAAAAAACATCCTGTTTGGAGGGAATGATCCTATTCAAAACTAGCCTTATATTCTTAAACCCTACTCAGAGAGAAACTTTGTTTTGAGAAAGAACACATAAGCTTAAAAAAAACAAAGGTACCACAATGAAAAAAAATTTACACCCATTTCACCTTCCAATTTTTTTTTCCTTTCCATATCAATATATGGAAAGGAATATGTGAGTCTTCATGCTTAGCCACCAAATGTTAAATTGTTCCATTTCTAATGCCTTCCTGTCTTGGCCTTTATGAGAGAACAAAGTGCTTCCATTTATGTTGTATGCAAGTCCAAAAACTTAAAGATCACTCTGAGCAACGTGTTGTCTGATTGTTTGAGTCTCTTTCTAGTGCTAGAAAGAAACATGAGCAGCACTTTTATATAAACATTACACCAGGAATACTGATTTTTAAGAGATTCCTTAATACTTAGATCTAAATTATACATAAACTATCATGTTTACAGACTGAGCTTTTATAATTCTGCAATTTTTACAAATAAATATATTATGCTTTTATTGCTATTATCCCCGTTATTGCTTGTTGATATTAATAGGATTAACACTCATGACTCAGGGGAAAATAAGGCATGTGATAATTAGCCAGTTCATCTCTCACACTCTCTGCTCATCATCCCTTTCAAAACATGCAATACCATTGACCTTTCTGTGATGGCTCACGCAGCAGAGCTGCCAATGTGAGAAAAGACAGATTTTCTTACTCTCCCCCAATCTACAGTTTTCCAGCAGGTTGTATTAATGTCTTTTATTACCATAGCATGATTTCCCCTTCCTGGTAAATCCTTTCAAACACTGGCACATAGCACCATCTTCCAGCAAAACACACTGTGCATTGACATCACATTCTAGCGCAGTGCAGTCATCTTGATCTATAGCATAAACAAAACCAAAAATCCACTAGATGCATTTGGACAGATCAAAGGAGGTACTGTGTATAAAAAAAACCACCAACCAACCAACCAACCAAAAAATTACCAAGAAAACCTGAAAATACAGTCAAAGTTTGAAACATAGCTCTCCAGGATTAATGATGACAAGCCAATACAATCGTTAGGGCTGTTGTCTTTGTCTAGGTGGAGTTGAAGTGCCATTTAGTATCAGGATTTCTGAATATTGTATGCAAAACCTATTGTACAATTTAATGATCTAGTGTCATTGAATGTATGTAGAATTCAATGGTTTTACTGCAATTTTGGTCAGAGGAACTTAATATACTTATAAAATCTAAGGGAGAGACTTTCACAAGTGTTCCAAACTAGAAATGTTTGTTCTCTAGACCTGGATAATATTATCAAGTTTTGTTGACATAGTGAAGGAACATGGAGACAAACAAACAAAAAAGCAGTCCTACCTGGCATAATTGCATAGACTCAACTTCTTGTAAGAGGGTAAGAGCATGAATGTCACCAGTCTTGACATTGAGCCTTTCTTCCTTTAAGGCCTATGATTTCTTTCTGTTCTATAAACCTGTTCAGAGCCTCACAGTAAATAGAAGGAAGACAATCATCAGACTCTACCTGATACCATGATTTCAGCCATCAACAAAATGCTGATTTTCTGCTTTTCCCCACTGTCCATATTCTTGAATATCCCACTGTTTTGTGTGCTCCGGAGCAAGGTCTCTGGTGTTGGCATCAGCACTACCTCCTTGTGCACAGAGACACTTCCTGAAAAAGACAAGAAAAAAGCGACACAGACTATTTAAATCTACTGGACTAACTTTCTGATTTTCTATCACTTGTCTACTTTCCAATAATCATGGTGGTTTCCTTTTGAAGTAAACATCAGTATCCTCCCAGACTAGCCTGTTTCTGGCCTCAAATTATTCCTAAAACCACTGACTGGTGGTTTTTCTCAAATACAAAAGACAAGGAATGTAACTCATTGCTCACAATACTTGTCAGCACTGCACACCTCTCCCTTACTGCTAATAAGCCAAGCGAAAAATTGCAATGGTCAGACAACATGTTATTGCCCCAGGACAACACCCCAGTGTTTTCATTCATCAGAGAAACCATCATTCATTATGTAGAGCAAGGTGAATAATTTCCAGTGCTATCTGTCAGGATCCTCAAGGGTTTTGGAACTGGAGAATTGTACCTGCTGTTGTGTTGGAAGCATCCAGAGCACGACAGTTTTTTCCATCTTGAGTTTTCCCAAATCCTGGATGGCACATGCAATGGGCGACTCCAAAATTGTTTTCACAGATCTGATCACAGCCTCCATTCTCGTAAAGGCAAGGATTTGCCCCTAATGCAGAAAAACAGGCAACTTAACAAGCTGCTTCTTCAGTCAACATCTCCTTTTAGCTGTGCAAAGTTGAAGCAGTTGGAAAAAGAATAAGGACTGACAAAAACTAGAACATCCTTTTTTTTTTAATTAAAAAGAGATGCATATAGCAAAGCATAGATATTATCACCTAGCCTCTGGCAGGAAAGCATATTTGCACACTCTCTATCTAATAAACGTATCAGGCTTTTTTAATTTCCTTTGTTATTTCTCCTTTAATATTTAGAGTCCTAACATTCCCTGAAAGAACATTGCAAGGGCATAGGGAACCTATGATTACTTTCCTTCAGTCCTGGTCTATTGAATTACTTTTTTCTGCTTACAGGGAGATTGTTCCCAACAGAAAATCAAATTATTTGATCCAAAACTGATAAATCTTACAAAATATTTCTCCATGTCATTTGTTATTTTTTGTTTGCGTGAGGGGTGCTAATAAACTAGGATATATAGGAATTAGAAGACCATGGTAGCCTTGTGGCAATTGATCAGCATCTATTCTTGGGCATGATCATAAATATACAAAATCTGTTAGCATTCCTGGGACACATGCCCAGATGATGCTTTCAATAAATGCCAGTCTGACTATGCAAAGCCTTTTAAAGAGCCTATTTCTGAGAAGACAATCCTCTCCCCAAGGACATCTAGTCTACTGATATTAGTGAACAAGAGGACGCTGGAAGGGAATGACTGCTTAATTTTTGCAGTATACCTGGTTTCGCCAAAGGATGAACTACAACCATTGATGAGGGTCTCAGCATGCTGCCTCGAAGACGTACCCTGTTTTGGCCGGTCTTCTTGTCCGCCCTCATTAGTGATGGCCTAGCCCAGTCAGAAAACCAAAGGTGATCCTCAAACACCGCTACATCAAAAGGGTGGCCTACAAAGAAATTAGATTTCTCATTTCCACGTCTGTAGAACATACACAAGAAACCACATAAACAAAAGCAGTATCTGCATACAGGTCTACTTCTAACACAGTGGCATAGCCATAGCCACTTCTCCACTTTGATGTCTCATGGGGAGGGATAAGTGTCCATGAATGATGGACCGTGGGCACATGTTACTTATGCTCTTAGCAGAGGAAGCTATGACACTTGCCTGACTCAGTACAGTCTCTATACTGCCGGTGACCTCCAACCAGATCAAGTTCACAAGATGCTTCTACCTCAGACATCATCATTTCTTGAATCAGCATTGGGACCAGCCTTTCAGAAGTGGAGTGCCTCCCTCCTCTGCCAGTAAGTGGCCCAGCACAGAGCTGCTGAGGTACACAGCTCCTTTTGCCGTCTTCACATAACAGGGAGGAGAGGAGCTCATGGCATGTGTCGTCCTGCATAAGTGTACTGGCATGGGGCAGCCTGGGAGCTACAGACACTGTAGCCACTGACTCATGGTAGCCAGTGTGTGCTCTCTGCAGCTGCCAAAAGTACATACAAGTGCAATACAGTGGTCCACACGTACACAAAAACACGCACAGACGTTCACTAGCCAATTCATCACAGTGCAAAATTCAAGAGGGGAATTAATTTTCCTCACTTCAGCCAACTAGCAGCAGTAGGCTGTGATTAGTTAGTCACTGTCTGGGAGCCAGCTAACTAACAGTAACAGCTAACACAAACCACAGGATGCAATAGATCATCCAGGTAGCTTCGTCTCTTTTCACTGATTACAACGGGAACCTAGACACCAGCTTAGACCAGGCACCTAACACTTACATGACTGACAGTAGGTGAGAGAAATCCCACCCCAAGTTCAGAGTACAGCAGTTTTTCCTTGGTAGCACAGCATTATCTGCACTAGGAAAACTCAGATCCCTAGTTGGACTTCCAGAGAGAAGCTCAGCAATTCAGAATCCAAAGGACACTTTCATATATAAGGGCAGGCATACTTATAGATAGAAAGATCTTTGCAAAATGATTCTAACTCTTTTTAATATCTTTGTCATGATAGAAAATTGTTATTGGTCCATATGGGACTATGCATTCTTTCTATACATTTAGAAATCTCCTGCTTTCAAGATAGCCTTTGGGCAAGCTTTTTGCAATAGAAGGTGAGAACACATACTGTTCTTCCATGGATGTCCACCTGGTTTCAGAGTAGGTGCTTCCTGGCTGAAGCAGGTTTGCTTTGCCCTGGTCCTTACTCACAGTCTGAATATGCACCTCACTTTGTACCACTGCAGTCTGAGCCCCTCTGAAAGGTATGTTTTGTAGGCATGTGATTTTATGATCTGTGTTGGGTTTTTTTTTGTATAGATCTCAACTAGGTGATGTTTAATTTCAGTAATGAAATTGGGACCCCAAAAGGCATTAGTTTAAAAAATAAAATATAATTAAAAAAAAAAATCAAAGCCAAGCAAACAAGCAAACAAAATAACAGATAAATTAGAACCTTGGGGAAGGAGTATGTGTTGGTATATCTTAAATACACATCACAAATAAACTGAAAAAAACCACTCCTACATAAGAAAAATTCTAAGACACTGTTTAAGTGTTCTTAAGTGTTAAGTTGAAGAGCATATTGTTATTGTGTTAGCACTTCACCACCTCCACTGAACCATGCTTAATCGCTGGGCGTGGTTCTTAGTTTTTCTTTCCATGAAACTTGAGCAACTAGCCCAAGATCTAGATACTGGTCCCATCCAAACACTTACTCACAATTTTAGGATCTATACCTTGCACTATCAACACACAACAGCCTGCTTTGACCAGCAATTCCTTAACCTCTTAACTTATAAATACATTAAGGATTAAAAATAGAAGTGCAGTGTCATCAATGGAGATAGCAGGAACAGGAAAATGAATAATCACATGAACTCTTTCCACAACAGTGCAAACCCAACCCATTGCATAAACAAAAGGAATGGTTGTGTTGTTCACTGCCTTGGGCGGGTGCTACAGGCTCTTTTACTTACAGCTGAAAACGGTGTTAGCAGAAAAGCAGAAAAATTTTAACTATTTTGCATGCAGCTATACTGAATGAATTCTTAGTACAGGGGCACTAGAGGGAGCTGCTGTAATAAAAATTCATGTTACAGCAGAACGCCTATGAAGAGGTGCCACCTTCCCATCCTCCAGTGTACAGCTGTCCAAGAACAGAAGCTGAATTCTGGTCTCACTAACAACATTAGCAAAACATCAGGATATCAAGTCTCTCTGCCTCTCTAAATTCATACCCCTACAGGTCTGCACCTCATCTCTTTCACTTCTTTCCATACAGGTGCTGATGTCCTTTTCTCCCATCTCCAAACAGCCATATCACTGCTCCAAGCCTACCTCCTTTCCCATACCCTGTGTTTCTCCAGTGCTCCTAGCTCTCCTTCTCTGTTTTCTCCCCATAAGACACTGTCTTATTCCTCGTCTAGAAACAAAATGAAACTTTCAACAGGCTTCAAGGTGCCCCTTTGCAGATCAGTTGCGAGGTGGAACATACAGCAGAATATGCACAACAGGGGAAAAGAGAGGAATGCTAGGAAGTCACTCTGCTCAGGGCTCTTGGTGTCTTATGAACTGGAGAACACTGCTCCCTCCAAGACCTCACTCTGCTCACCTTCAAACAAGTGGGAGGGCATCTGGCTTAGGAGATGAACAAAAGCCTTCCCAGAACACAGACTAGAACAGCAGCTGCTTAACAGAGTAACCATAAAGTCTTTACCCATGGCAGTTGTGGTATTGAGCCAAAAGTCCTTATTCTGCCCATGTTTTGTATGCACAACTACAAAATGGTCCCCAGAGAGATATCATGCACAAAGGGAACTGTCCTCTCCAGAAACTAATTTGCCATGTACAAGATTCTTCAACACGTTTTACTTTAGATGTGGTACAACATCAGTTCCTCATTGCTAATACTTCTGTTCTCTTGCTCCAGAACAACACAGTTACATGTCAAACAACAGAAATCTCAGCCATAACAACTACCAGCATATTACATAAATCATTTTTCCATTCAGTGTCTATCGTGTATTTAGAATTGTCCCAGTGTTCAACACTGCAGATGCAGGTTCTTTGCTCAAGCACCTTAATGGCCAAGATATTAATTCTTTTCCAGCTTATGTCAATAAACTCACTGGTGTAATAAACACAGCAAAACCTGAATTACACTAAGGAGGCATGCATGGAACAAGCAAATCACATTTTTAACTTTTTCCTTCTTTTCATTTTTCTGTGAAGGCAGAGAAGTTCTCTGTACAATGCAAAGTGGCTGATTAGCAAAAGCAGAGTGTTAGAAAGGAGTTCTTTTGCTAGAATGAATAAATAAAAGTCAACTGGGTAACAGAATGAAGAACTAAGTGATGCCATTAACCTCAACACAGAGTTGCATGGGATATACAGCACAGCCACTGGCTGGTAATTCACGTGCACATATGCAGATACACATGCACATTGACAAGCAGCAGTAGGTAATTATCAACCCCAAAGCCTCACCTACATCATTCTGTGCAAGAATTCGACGACCAGAACCGTCCAGGTTTGCGCTCTCAATCACCGACTGCTTAGCATCACACCAGTACATCTTGTCGGCTAAGTAGTCGAGAGTTATTCCACTGGGCCACACCAGACCAGTGCTGGCTATAACCTGGCGATCGATGCCTTCTAATGAAGAGCTGTCAATCCGGGGACTGACCCCCATGTCAGTCCAGAATAATCTCCTTTAGAAAACAAAATGCATACAGGAAGTCAGTAAGTAAATGTTTGTCCTCCTCTCCATGGAGTTCTTTCAAAGCAGAAAGACCAGATCAGAGCAATACAGGCCTGAGGCACATGAGAAAAAGTGCACACTTCAAGCAAATATATTGGCTGCTGATCTTTTCACACTTGCCATAAGACTCCAGGTGATTACACCGGGACTTATGCAGAATCCCCACCCTGTTCATTGGCACAAAACCTTTGAAAAACAACTCCTCCCGCCTATGCTATCCGCCAACTTTTCATATCTGCTTTTTGCGTTTTCCACATGACTGGTGATAGCAGTTTAGCAAACCCAGACAACAGAAGATGATGCGTTAGCCAGCCCCTTGTCTAAACAAGGGTGTAACAATGCACAAATGGAACCAAAATTACCCACCACCCATGGAAATCAAGCAAGAGTCCTCAGGTTTTTAAAAAATAAACCGGTATCAGGCCCAGCCTCTTTTCTTCTTCTAATAAAATCATGATTCCCAGGGTCTCTCTCTAGAGTCCTGAGTGTTACTCACTGAGTGCTTACTGTTTTTCAAAGAACAGACAGTGCAAGATGGCCACTTAAAATGGAGACAGCAAAACCCACAAATTAATTCTGAAGTTTGGACTCCAGTCTTCCCAGGCATCAGCTGCCTTTGCCAGCTTTACTGAGATAACTCACAGATTCACTTAGCTTTATTTAGATGAGCAGTTTTGCTGTAGCCAATGCAGGGATCAGTATTCTCAATACTCTTAATTATGTCTCAGATCTCTCTTTAATACTGACTTTACCATTATGGACATTACTATAATGTCTGTTCCTCCTTTCACCATTAACTTTCTAATAAGGAAGGGTTTAGTGATGTTTCCTCCTCCCTTTCCCCTTGTAGCCCTTGCCTCTACCAATAATTCTAATAAACATCTCCCTGAACCTACCTGTTCTTAAAAGTTTTCCCGCAAAATGTCTCTATCATGTTCAACCTCTACTGAAAGATTCTTTCAGGTCTTTTATGTACAGAGTGAAGCTAATAAAACACCCTCCCCAACTCTGCTTCATTCATCAGAGCTTAGTTACAGCAGGATATGAGCATAAAAAAAAATCAACAGATTTAAAACCATCCTACTACAAGCATATTGACTGAAATCCATGGGGCTTTGCCATTGATTGAAATGGCCAGAATTTCATCAATAGTTTAAACATTCAAAATGCCTTTGATCATCTCAGCACTAGACAAGAAGATATAAGGTGCATTTAAATCAACGCATCTCCACAATAGTAGATTTGGTTTAGTTTCCTCAGAAACTGAAACATGGCCAAAAAAATCCTTTGTAAGCACCATTGGTTAAAAGTGACTACCTTTTTCACACTAATAGATATAGAACCATCAAAGTTTGTAGTGTGGTGCTTACAAACTGTCAGGGTGACTTCAGTCACTTGTGCTTTTCTTTAGCTTAAACTGCTTACAATATATTTAATGCTTCTGGTGTTTTTTTAAAGCTATGTGAGAAATGAACATGTCCCAACTCACAAAAGAAACCCAGCAAGAAAATATTGCAGTTCACACAACTCTGCAAGGCAATGACTATCCTAACATGAGACTAATGCACTTTTTGACTGCCAAAAAGGCAAGACTGGCATGCTCATTTTTAAAAAGCCTCCCCAAGTATTACACAATTAACCTGGTTTATCACTCCTTACTTAGCAAATGGGTGAATGGCAATCCCCCGGGGCTGGGAGACATCCTCCCAGATGATCATTTTTCTTTGCATTCCATTCAGATTGCTCCTTTCGATGCATGCCTTCCTGCAACACACACGGCACCGTTAGGTCCTCCCTGCTATCTTTTTAATTACCTTCTCAGGCAGAACATACTAAGTTTTTGCATTCCTTTAGTTTAGCACAAAACTGTAATAAATAACTACAATGACAGGAAATAATCCTGCTGATGTGGGATGTCTAGTTGTTTTATCAACAAGTAATTCATGTTACAGCCTCATTATCTGGTCCAGGTCATGATGATAAAATACCTGCTGCTCTGCAGGAGACATGAAGTTCTCCTTTTCTGGGCAAATAATGAGACGGAAGTATGATCACTAATAGATGAATGTCAGCTTTAAAGGGAGTCAGGAGGAAAACAAGCTGCTAACTGAATGACATTATCGAATGCATAAAGAATTTTTTTAAATAGTACTTTTACATAGCATTTTTCATCCAGAAATCACCAAGCAATTTACATATTATATCTATTTTACAGGAAAGAATGAAGCTAAGGTCCTTATGATCACTCCTAAAGTCTATGGCAGAGTCAAGTATAGACTCTAAGTTGCCAGTCCCCCAGTCCCATTTTTTTCCAGAAAGCTGTACTTATTGCTACAAACTTCACCTTGCCAAACAAATATCAGCCTCTACCTGAAAGAAAACCTACAGCCTTCCACGCCTACCTGAACCTGCAAAGAAAGGCCACACAAAGATGGAAGGAGAAATATATTTGTGCAAATGTGGAATACGAACAGGGAAATGCAGTGAGTGAGAAGGAAGTGGCAGATACACATTCACAGCTTAACCCTTGACTCTTGTCTTACGGAGACGAGCACCACAATTTCCCATTTCACAAGAAACACTGGCGTATTTATACAGGAGCACAATCGTGTAGACAAGATTGTACCTAATAGCAAGGAAGTGGACTAGCAACATATTTAAAAAGGGAGAAGGAGGGTGATCTGTACATTCAAAACCATTTTTTATTGACTAATAAAGGAAGGAGAAATATATTTGTGCAAATGTGGAATACGAACAGGGAAATGCAGTGAGTAAGTGGCAAGTGGAAGATACACATTCACAGCTTAACCCTTGACTCTCGGAGACGAGCACCACAATTTCCCATTTCACAAGAAACACTGGCGTATTTATACAGGAGCACAATCGTGTAGACAAGATTGTACCTAATAGCAAGGAAGTGGACTAGCAACATATTTAAAAAGGGGGAAGGAGGGTGATCTGTACATTCAAAACCATTTTTTATTGACTAATAAAATATGGGTCATCTGAAACGTCAAAACCATTTTTTATTGACTAATAAAATATGGGTCATACTGAAACGTCATGACCGCTCTTCAAGGAGTCTTCATTATGTGTTCTGATCTGACGCTGCCTTTCCACCAAAGGTCGATTTTGTTTCTCTCTGCATGTAAGGTTAGGTATTAGCTGGAATGTGTAGTCATATTGTTTGCCAGTGGCCATTCGCCTTTTATCAGAGATAATTGACAAAGACTCTCCATTAGCTTAAAGGGGCATGATTCTAGCTGTCAACAATGCTGACTTCTGTCCAAGATGTACTCGGTGCAGTAATACTTACTATTTTTATATATATATAAAGATATAAAGATACACCTATATATACACACATGCAGTGTATGTATATAAATATGAGTGTATACATATATATATTCACACGTGCATGTGCAAAACAGATATGTATACATGCAGTACATGCTTTAGATTCCTTGCAACTGTGTCCAAACCCTTGCTTCTTGGAAAGACAAAGATAAAAATACAATAGCAGACTCAAAGTGATCTTCCAGTATTTCAGTTTTAAAGAACTTTCCAACTGTGTATACTTGAGATTACAGCTACCCAACCAGAATGTGAAGCATTACTGAATTTAGAGTGATATCTCAGCTATTTCTGTATCACCAGCCATTTATTCCAAATATTTTATGGCATGCTTCAACATAAATGCACTGTGGAGCACGTACCCTCTGTCTGTCCAATACAATTTACGGTTAATCCAGTCCACAGCAAGGCCTTCGGGTATATCTATAGCGTCACGAATAACTTTTTCACGATTTGAGCCATCCAGATTAGCTCGTTCTATCCATTTCAAGGCGGTATGGGCAAAGTAAATCTGTGAAGAAATAACAGATGAGGTGTTATTAGTCCCCATCTCACTTTCTGCTCAATTTCCCTTGTCTAATAGCTCCACTTGTAAAATAACTTCATCATCTTGAAAGTTCCCTGAACTGCTTATTCACAAAAAGCTGCACAGGTAACCTGTGATCCCTGATCAAATAAAAAGGCACTTATCCTTCAACCAGGATGACTTCTACAGGCAGCTTGTGCTTAGCTGTAAATCCTGGTTGCCCTATATACAGCCCTCTGAATATCCTGTGGTTTTGTTTCAGCGAGCAGCTACCTCACACGAAGCACAGCTGAGGAAGCAAAAGTAGGAGCAGGCAAAAAGAAGCATGTTATCATTTCACTGGCTGCTCTTTTTAAAAAAGGGGGAGTGGGGAGAAGAGAGTAGTAGTGTATGTGTGTCAAGGAGCTGGGAAGGGAAAAGGAGTTATCTAATTTGCTTCTACTTTTTTCCTCTTTCAACCTGCATGTATCTTAATTTTTTACCAGGTGTCTATACTGAAAGACTCTAACGTTTCCAGAAGAGGCTTCTCAGTTTTGGGTCAAAATAAAAGTTCTCTGCTGGTGGGGAAACTAGGTCTGTGTTTTCCAATGATGAGGAAAAAAAATTGTCTTGTATTTGATATCCAGACGGAGCCAAACACTCTATGGCAGAACTATATACAAAGCAATGCTGAGGCTTTCTTTGCAAAAGGTGGCAACAAAACAAATCACTTCGTTTTGATGCTAACCATGAGGCCAAACAAAGCAGGAGGAACGCCTCTAGCATTAAAGCAGCTAATACAATTACCATGGGAGCACAGAGCGATGCTGAGCGAATTTTCCTCGCACCTCAGTTCTGCGCCACCAGGACCAGACTGCTGCAGCCTGGCTGGCCCCTGCACAGCACCTCACCTCCACACTGCCGACCCCACCGTCGCACAGAGCTCCCTACAGAAGCGGAACAAGAGTGCACACCCAGTGTCACCGGGGCCGCTGATTTACATTTGGCACAGCACAGAACAACTGCTAGTTCCCCAGCAGGGCCCTATTTCAGGAGCAAGTGGCGATGCTCCAGCAGCGCCTGAAACGATCCTCCTGTAACGCAGATCTGGTAACATTCGCATTTGTTTAGCTGTGTCCATCCAGGCCTTGAGATGTTTCCAGCAACTTAACTGAGCTCCTCATCAGCTCTCACTGTACCATCCAGTATCTTTTTGTAACACTTTTTACAGTGTAAATAAGTCTCACCATGGGAAAAATAACTATCTGCCACAGAAGGTTTAGCAGAGCACAGCTGAACTCCTATTCTTTCCCAACTCTGCAGGCAAGGAGTAGGGCACTGGGATGTGGCCATACAGACAAACAGCTCTTTATGCGGAGAAGACTCCCATTTCCAACAGCAATATCTGGTAATACGAGGAATTCATTTCGTAAGAGCAATAAACCCAGTGAGTGTTCGGCAGTTTTGTTCAATAATGTCAGGACATTGGAAGTAATTCTTGTTAAGATTACTCCTACATTTAGTAGGGATTGTGGGATGTAGCTGTGCAGAAAAAAAGATACTTGCTTTTACAGCTACCCAGTGAAAAAAAACCCACAATATATTTCCAGAAAACAGTACTGAAATCTTAAGGGAGAAAACTATCAATCACGCAAAAGTTCTTTGAAATTTAAATCATGCCTGAAGTGAATTTAGAAATCCAAATTCTCTGTGAATTATCCATGTCTATGTAAAAAGCACATTCAGTTGGTAAGTAAAGGATGAAACTCTTCGACTAGTGTTTTGCATCCTGTACCAGTTGTGCTTCTGGACAGGCAGCAAAACAACGAGCAGCACAACATGTAATCTCGATCACTGACAGCAGAAAGGTTAAGGCACATGAAAGCCCAATCCATTTGTCCTTGCAACACTTCAAAATCCTCTCATTTTTAATGCCTTACCTTATTTTCCCCTGGGTCAAAGTCCAGTGCTAAGACTATTCCCATCTGCCAGTCAAGTAAACTTGCATAATCTGTGCCATCAAAACTGATCTGGCGGATATCTTGGCCATTTGCAAATAACAAAAATGGCTTAGGACCTGTTAATGAAAATTTGCACATATGTTAATTCCACTAGGTTCAAAGTGATCTCTAGCCTGCATCACTACCTAGCTAACATTTTAAGTAAGTAACAGTAGAAGACAAAATGAGGAACAGAAGCACAAAGAAATGAAGGCCCTTGTCCTACATTCCACTTGTCTCAGAAATCAAAAATAAACGTCAATATAGGTTTTCAGCATCAGTGCCTTGCCCAAGATCAGCCTCAAAATTTGTGATAAAGGCAGTCACTAGCCCCGCTGCATTTCACACTGACTTACTTAGCCTCAAGACAATCTTCCCTCTGCATTTCACAGCATCACCATAAATGCCAGAACACTTGACTTTTGCACGAGAAGCCTTTCACAGTAAAAGCAAGAAAAATACTGTCCTCCAAAAAATAAAGCTTTTCCCTTATTCCTGAAACAAATCACAAACTGCTCTTTCCTCCCCTCTCTCATGCAATTGCTTATACCTTGCTGCTCACCAGGGTCTGCCCTTTTCTCAGAAGAAACAGAAGGGTCTGGAATCCAATCATCACATCAAATACCTGGGCTTCCTGGGGCCAATGGGGGATAAACAGCCTTGTAGGGAAGGTTCTTCAACAGACTATTCCCTGCCATGTTCTCCAAAAGTAGACACCTCAACCCCAATTCTGTAACACTGGGCAGAAACTATACCCACATTTATATGAAGGTACAAAAACCTGAATACTGCAGATAGACCTCCGCAGTACAGGAGCCCAGAGTGAAATGCAGAAGTTGGATAATAGACTGAATCTTCTGTGAGGGAGACTGAACCATATACTAGTGCTTGCTCTGGTATATTTCCAAAATAGGTTATTTTTCCAAACAGCTAATACTTCCCAAGTTTCACAGAGTAACCTAAAACCAATGCAAAAATGGATCCCAGTTATGCAGTCCACTTTAAAGGACTCTAAAAGGTTTTTGCTTTTATTGGCAGAAATATGCAGGTGTACCAAGATACTGACCTATAGCAGTGCAGTGCTTTCTGTCTCGCTGAAGCTTATATCCAGGAAAACAAGCACACTCCCAGGACGATGGGCTTAAAGAAGAACATATCTGACTACAGCCACCATTATCTGGAGATGTACAACCTTAAACAGAGCATTTGAAAAATTTAACTTCGCCATTCTAAGAAAAAAATACAACAAAATCAGAGGTATAAGCAAGAGAACAATTCACTCTGCTTAGGATTTCTACAGTGCAAAGCATCTCAGTGATTGACAGATTTACTGAAAAGCCTCCTGCTGAAAGTAGAAGTCTAGTGAAGTGAAATCAAATTAGTAGCAACTTCTTCCAGAGTTTTGCCTGAAAATCCACAACACAAGGTGGGGGGATGGAGGGTTGGATATATGAAGAGGGCTTCCAGGTGTTCGTTATTTCAGAGAACTCTTTCTCCCATGCAAATCTCATCCCATCTACAACAGAGTAACTAATTTTATCAGACTTTGCACTCCATGCAAAGAAACAGTAAATTAATGCCATTCTCTCCCCAGAAGTTAATTAGGCTAGGATGGTGAATTGATACTTTCTAATACAACAAACCAAGATTTCATACAAAAAGAAACTATTCTTTCTTCTTGGGCCGTACAATGGTTATAGCCTCAATGCCAACCTGAGCTTACTCAGTGGAGCGTCCCTAGCAAAACAGCAACACTGACTAAATCTGTGCGTACAGTACAGTCCACAGTACGTAAGGGATGTAAAAGGAGAAGGGGATTTTTCAAGGTGTAAGGCTGGCATTAATGGAGCTATCTTGACCCCTAAGACTGAAAAGATACAGTTGAAAAGCTACAGTCCCCTGAATCTGGAAAGCTTGCTGGAATGGGGGGTGACAGATTAGTGGGTGTAGCAGCTTCAAATATTCTGACTGCAAAAATTCCATTTGTGGGTCATTAGATGAAATTGCTGTAAGTTAGAGTGACTCTGAACCTGGGTTGCACAATGTCAATAAAGTCATCTTCAGATTTTGCCCAAGCCCTAATTTTGTACCTATGTTTCCCCTCAAGTATAAATTTTAGATGTCTCCTGCAAGAAACGTCTGGGAGATGGCTTGATCTGTGCTGACAACAAAAGAATATGGCCTGCAAACATTGGATGTTGCTGCTAAGAAACTTCTGTTAAAAAATGAAGATGAATATTTCTCATCTCAGCACTCAAAGCGCCTGACATTCCATTGCCTCCTATCTTGTACAATCATTTACAGCTGTGCAAAATGAGTGTAAAATGCCATCATTCACTTCTGGCTCTCAGTGCCAAGAACAAAGAGAGTTTGGCAGTCACTACAGCTAGAAAAAATGTTACTTACCAGTGCATGCTTTGCCATCCATTTTGAGTACAGATCCTTCAGGACAAAAGCAAACAGGCCCTTTAGATGTTTGAAGGCAACCATGGCTACATTCGGTGTCGTTACTTGTACAGGAAATTAGCTCTACAGTAATTTAAAGAGGAAAAAAAAATCTTAAATCATGATAAAAATTTTTACTAAGCCCCCCAAAAGAGATGTTAACACTTTCTTAAATAGAAAAGAAAAAAAAAAGAAAGGTCACTACAGCTAGAAAAAATGTTACTTACCAGTGCATGCTTTGCCATCCATTTTGAGTACAGATCCTTCAGGACAAAAGCAAACAGGCCCTTTAGATGTTTGAAGGCAACCATGGCTACATTCGGTGTCGTTACTTGTACAGGAAATTAGCTCTACAGTAATTTAAAGAGGAAAAAAAAATCTTAAATCATGATAAAAATTTTTACTAAGCCCCCCAAAAGAGATGTTAACACTTTCTTAAATAGAAAAGAAAAAGAAAAAGAAAGAAAAAAGAAAAAGATAAAAGTGTGCTGTTGAGAGTACAACACTTCTGTTGTCTTTCTGGGGTTTGTTTTGGTTTATTTTGGTTTTTTCCAAATTTTTTTCCCACCCTCTACTAATTACAGCAAAGGAGAAAGCCAAAATTGCTGGGTCCTGAAGCTATTATACTGATCAGCTTTAAAATTTCCAAAATTGTATGAAGACGTGTTATCAAAATAGAAATAATTTAGAAAACTTTCTTTTTTACATTTCATCAAAAAATAGATCCGGTTTTGAAAACTACAAGGAAGTTATACTGAAAGAATAAGTATAAAGCACAAAGAGAATGAGGAAAAACTACTTTCCTACTACTCCAAGGGTAACAGAGCTAGAATCAATGAAAACAGGAGATGAACCTTCCAGAAATAAAGCTATGTTCCTTAGTGGCAATTTTTGAAGCTGTAGGGGCAAAACCATCTGAGGACCTGGCAATAGCTTTCCTTTACTTTCCATTATAATTGTTGGAGCGCCAACTTTTTTCCCTGAGTATTTGTTTAATGTAATTTCACAGGATATCCTCCTTCCACCTTCTGCATTGCAGTGCTGCATCTCTTTATGCCAATTCTAGCACCGTATGGCAACACCCGCTGGAAGACTGGAACTAATGCAAGTTTCCCACAGCTGCTTCTTTGAATTAGCTGCATACACTGGCTTAAATGATGCATAACTGTTGCAAATATTGCTTCTCCAGGGCAACTGCACTCTGGACTGGATTGTTCTAACCCCTTAAGTACAGTGAAGAGGGTCAAGAAACTGATCTTGTGTTTCTTTCTGACTAGAGCCTGTGGCTTTAGATGGAGAGCTTCGTACAGGACTTTGAGGACAAAGCATCAAAATGTCTGGTCAGCATGTGGACTTCTCACCTTGTATCTCTCTCTCTCTCTCAAGTTGCGTAGATGGTGACATATCTGCCTTGTGTGCTGCAGTAGTTAAGGAGTTATACTGTCCATGTTGCATCCCTAGCCTGTGTTAGAAAAACATTATTTTCTATCTAATTTGAGCCACTCAAAATGCAGGCATATAGTTCAAGCTAGTCATCCAGAGTAGGACTGAGTTGCACAGTGTCTAAGTGTTGTTTTGCACACAAAAGGATATCCCACCTCCCAATAGCCTCTGGCTGCAGGACTCCCATAGGTCTTCTGTCACATCTGGCTGCCGTCTGCAGCTGTCACATGTTTGGGTCACTGAATCCTACTCCTGACTCCCTCTTAATAGAGAGGGAGAAGTGACTCTTGGAGGTCTAAAATAGATAGACTGACCGCTAGAGTCTGTTAGACTCTGTTACTCTCTTGTAGCGATATTTAATATACCCTAGGTCCTGATCTTGCCATGATCCAGACTGAACTCACTGGTGTGCACTGGCACTTCTACTTAGGGCATATACCAATGTTTTATTTCCATGGAAACAAGGTAGAAGGACCCTTTGCTTACACCTAAGTTTCACTTCATTATGAAATAGAAAAGTGACTGGGAATATCCCAAGACCTCAAAACTTGGATTTGTAGGCTGAATATACACAATGCTGCATAAAAGGAGAACAAAAACCTTCACCTCTGACTCTTACTATGACTAAAATATGGTCCTTGAAGTTTACTGACAGACAAATCTTTGGTTTTTCCCTCCACTTCTCTGTGTTCTCTGCATTTATTTTATTCACATTTATTCAGCTTCACAGAGCTTCCTGGTTTATGTACCTATGTTATATAGATAAGTTCTCTCAGGCATACTTCTTATGCACAATTTAATTGATAAAAGAAAAAAAAAGCACAAGTGCAGCAGTCCCCCAGAATAAACAACTTTATGAGTACTTCCGTGTGTCTTATTCATTGTAAACAGATGCACATGCATTTAATTTCATTAATTTCATGTACATTAGCAATGCTATCAACCCTGATGTGAAGAGAAAAGAGATGATGCTGTAAGCTGCTCATTCAGAGACTGTGCAAATTGTTATGCAGGTTAGACAGAATGAGCCAAATTCAGAGACCACATTTTAAAAGATATAACTGCTTATCCGCCTGGAATGTGCCACGGAGCCCAATCTGAGCAAAGAGGTCTCTCTAGAGACCTGACTCTTTTTTTTGCTCCTGAAGATGTTCACACTTGGTTACTCACGTGTAACTTACACTTCCTTAAACACGACATCTGAATTTGGTTCACTCAGTTTAAGCTGATCCTACTTACATAATAAGGGATTGGAAGTGAGCAATGCAACATACAAAACTTTCAGCGGTTCTAGTGTTAAATGAGGACTCTCTCCAATATCATACTGGAGGCGTTTATGTATTACTGCTACTTACCGTGACATGTTTTCCTATCAGGCAGCAGAACAAAACCTCTCGGGCAGGTGCAGTAATAGGAACCAGGGATGTTCACGCAGCCCAAAGTACAGCCATGATTCCAGAAGCCGCATTCGTTGATATCTGCCAAAAGAAGCACTTGCTGTGTCAGAATAAGATCATTGACCAGTCTCAGGGAATTAGATTAATGAAACAAACTAACAGACTTCAAGAAGTACCTCTTTTTCCCAATCATTTTACAAAAACATGTTGGTCCTAATAAATGCTAAAAAAGCAAGTTTGCAGACCTTATTCAAATAAGCTTTAAAAACCTTCTAGCAAAACCCACTCAGGCTGCGTATGTCCTGCATAGGTGCCTACAGGACTTTCAAAAGTATGCCTTCCCATACAGATTCCAGTGCCAGTTAAATCCTGTGTGCACCCAAAGAATTTACATTAGACACTTTCTTCAGACAAAAATTCTTTTAAAAATTTTGGCTCCAACATGACTTAAGTAAAATTCTCAAAACACAGAAGTAGTTTAGAAGTTGAAATTCAGAAAGCAATCCTAGTGATTTTCCTGAGAACTGGATGGGTGCTGCTCAGGCAGGTCTGTAAATCCTGTAAGCTAGGAATTTTGATGCCTTTATGTCTTTTCAAATCTGGTCATGTAGTGAAAAAGATGCTTCTAAAAATGATATGTTTACTATTATTAATAGTAATGTTAGATTTTTATTAAAACAATCCAGGTTAAAACATTTAGAAGCTTGTTAAGAATTTGTGTCTTTTTTGAAAGTGGGACTTAAAACAGCCATCTTGTTGCAGGATTTTTCAATGTTTCACCTTTGGTGATGTATCTGTTGTAATTTTTGTTTTAAAATTAAATAAGCACCCATAAGCATGTCTACTTATCTGTACCTTCTTTAACTACTCAGGCTAGGATCAAAATTTCTCGCAAGAATAACTTTTGTGACATTTTCATAGGTCTCCTTTTAGACTATTTCAGAACCTGGAAGGACACAAAACTGAAATGGCACAACTGGAATTTTTAAGACCTCAGAGTGTTTTTTCATACTCAAGATACGAGTAAAGTAAAAGAACAGAAGAACTTTTTCATCTGATGGAATAAAGCTGTCGGGAGATTCATGTATTACCTTCACAAAACTGTTTATTTCGACTTAAAATAAAGCCACTAGAACATTTACACCGATGAGTCCTTGAGTCAGGCCTGCAGATTCTTCTTCTGCACTTTTCTTTGTTCAAATCACAGGTTCCTTTTTCTGGAAGAACAAATATAGTATAAATGTAAGGGAGTTCTTACCATATCAACCTTCAAGGAGAAACTATTTTGAGCAAAGATTCTCAGTGAAGTGTCTTCTTCTCAACAGCTACTTGCTCAAGCCGAGGAACTTCTTATTAATAGAAAATAACTTCTATTATTATATTGGTAAAATCAGGCCAAAAAGTCACTATAAAAATGAAGGCACTTGGAAGACTAAGAGTAGGTCTGTGCGAACGATCGTTTCTAGCTCCATGTCAGCACAAGCAGACCTAGAGAGAGCCTGAAGTGGGGGATGGTTTGGTTTGGGTGCATACCTATACTGATTATGAAAGGGAAAGCCCTGTGTAGCAGGCTTCACATGCCACCAGTCCTGCACGGTATTATATGCTATCAGGCTCTGTAAAACACTCAGAAAGAAGAGAGTGAGAGAGAGAGAGCACACACACAAAAAGAGAGGGGAAAGAGGTTTAAAAAGAGAGAGAGCATACGAAGACTGGAAGTTATTAGTGTAAAGCAGTGCTCAAGTCTCATGTTATTTAACAAAAAAACTGCTGGACAGATCATAATGACCATACGTTTCATTTGGACAAAAAGCATTAGCACAGTCTAGAGAATCTTTGTACTGCAGTGGATCCTAGTTTCTGACTATGATAAATACAAGCGTTATAAATCTTGAACTCAGATTTAAAACTCAGAATGTTTCTGATGTCCAACAAGATATGCTCAAACTTTCTTCAAAGGAAGCAGAAAAAAGTACCCAACAGATCCCCAGAAGCCTTCCTACTTCTCCTGCTTCACAGAAAAAGTCAAACAGGTATTCATCTATCTTTTCTCATGGGAAGGATTTGCAGAGCCTCGTGTCTGTGCTCAGCTATCATTTAGAGCTGGTGCTTTCGCAGATATGCAACACTCATGGTTTTATTTTTGTCTCCCAAACTATTATTTTTGTTTTAATCTTCCTAATCTTCTTCTGGGGTTGCTTGCCCCTTTCCCAAGCTAAGAATAGCTGAACTGCTGCTACTGAATGTGGGTATGCAGCCACCCACCCACAACACTGTCTTTGCCCTCTGCTGTTTGTGTAACACATGAGAAATTGTGGGCTCGTACAGGCAAAGAAATTTGTTTGTGAACAATTTTCTTGTGCTATTTCTAATTCACCCTCTAAATTCCAAGAGATGGAAAGCAGCATAATATTTATGTTCGACATTTAGTTTTCTGTTAGCTACAACAGAGAAAATGCTGGCCATTTAGTGGAATGACAGATCACATCTATAAAAGACTGAAATAATTTCCCAGACAGACACTTCAGCTTGGCTGAAATCATCAACATTGCACTTATTTGCATCAAACTGATTAATTCTTCTCTAACAAAAGTTGTATCACTGAATGAAAAATGATGAATGGATGACAAGATGGATATTATCTGTGTTATTAAGCATGTTAGCTTTTGAGAGACTTGAATTTTACATAGTTTTAGCTGAGCCTCTCTTTTTGTAGAACTAGTTTTGAATTGGACCCTTAATCTTTGTCTCTACTGCAACTGAATCAGGAACATACAGTAGCGGGGTGTCTAACCTTCAAACACAGAACTCATTAGAATGACAAAAGTGCAAGTACATGCAATCACAAAACAATACAAAAGAGAAACAAGACCACATTCAAGGCTGCCTTATGCTTATCACTAGTGCTGTTTTTTTGCCCCTTGCTTGTACCATTATTGGTCTAATGAGACCTAAGACACCCAGGAATTACAGAAGAAATAACAGAAGCAATAATTTTGCCATCTGGGCAATCTCAAGGAGATATTATTTTTTAACTGAATAATTATTAGAACTCGATATTGCCAAATCAATATGTTAAAAAAAAATCACATTTCAAAACTTAAAGTGAATGGTGACTATGAATCACAAAGTTTTTAAGGTAATCTTTTCTGGAAGAACAACCACTATGAACCATACTTTCTAGTTCGTTTGGGTTTGGGGTTTTTTTCCCCTCCCATCACCTCTTTTATATGGAAATGGGTGTTCTCAGATAATAGCCTGATGCTGGATTCTTTCACTGGAAAGAAACAGAACATAATTCCTCCAGAAAATATCCTGAGGGTACTGAATATTGTTAATCTGTCAGAGAAGATACTTTAAAAAAATTCCAGAGGCAGTCTTTGAGGTTTTAAGGTAATTAAGATATTTTATGAGCCATTAATAAAAGTGTGAAGAACATTCCAGCAGGCATTTATAAATACACACACAGTCATCAGATATAGGATTAGCTGTCAAAGAGAGTTGAGGTAAATTAGAGGCCATCTTCCAGATACTGCCGTACTGAAGTTGTTGTCTGGGGTTATAGCAAACCTGTAGCTGAATTAATGCTCTTCTCTGTACTTACTGGCCATGACCAATCCAGGAAAGACTTTTGAAAGAGAAAGGGAAGAGGGAACATGAGGAATTTAAGTAGTAAAGTAAATAATCCAAATTCCAGTAAAAAATCGAATCATGTCAGTTGAGCACTTCTCATCAGTTCCCTTTTCATCTGAAGGAACTCACTTGCTATCTGCTTTAAAGAAGGCCTGATAATTCACAGCTGACACTACATTGCAACATACACTTTCTTAGCTTGTACAGAGCATCCAATTAGTCTAGGTATGCTTTTATCTCCAGGTTTCTCTGTTGTAAGATCAGCTATAAATCTCATTTGTACTCCAGGCTCATTAGTCCTCCTTTCATCCCAGTTCTTGCACTGGATAAGCCAAGCAACGTACATGCAAAGTCCAAAAGGTTCATCTGGATTCAGCCTGTTAAGCTTCTTTCTACTCCATCACTTCCCAGACATTTTTACAAGAAGGTATTTGGAATAAAAAAAAGGCCTACTGCTGACAACACTTACTGTCATACAAAAATCTACTAGATGTTGGAAACACAGGGGTATATACTGCAAGGCATTTAAAAACACTGGTAGTTTATTTATTAATAAAGGTGGGGAAACCCTCTTTCCAGTGGAAAGAGAAACACCGGAAAGCAGCATGTTCTGGTGGAAAAAGTGGAATTAATCTTATGAGAGAAGAATAAAAGCTAAGTGCCCATAGTCAACGAAATTGTGCTACACGCTCTTGTGGAGAGGCCATATGTAACACAACAAATAGCCCCTGAGGTTCAAGAGACCACTATCATGACCTTTCTTGGTCATTGTTTCTTCCTCTCCATCTTCATGCATATGCAGACATGGTGACCGACACCCAAGGAGGCCTCATGAGACCTTCCCAATCTTGTTGTGACAACCCTGAGATGTGTGGACATGCCACTGTCTGCACCACAAACATATCCTTCCCTAGTTACCCTGTGTGAGAGCACCAAACTTGTCAGTTGAAAAAAGTGCTTCCATTTGCCAGGATGACTGTTTTCCTCGAAGGAAGCACAGAACAGGTCCTGTCTCTGAATGGAGGCTCCCTGTGCTTACAAGTATAAGCTTGATTTCCAGGAACACTTTCTCTTCTGCATCTCAACAGCTCTTTGCACTGCAAAGCACTTGAAGGGGAAAGTTCCCTTGAAGATTTTGATTTTTCCACTCAGAGCAGGCTTCAGGAAGGAGAGACAGCATGGTACCGTGTAAAGCTGTTGGTTGGCATGAAGAAAGACAAAGCCTATTTTATAGTAGATATTTAGAAATGGTCCAAGAGAGATATTTACAGTTTCATTTTTGCTCATATGAACAAACACTACTTTCTCCTCATGTCTTTATACCACCTATACCTCTGGGAACCCACGGCCATCTTCCTTTGGCAGTTCTGCAACCATTGCTCAACACACAAATGCCTTTATGTTGTTTGCTCAGTTGCTCGTATTCAAGCAAAACTGGTGACAAAAGCTATTCCATTAAAGCAAGAATACTCTATGTCTGCTTTCCAGAGATCAGAGGAGAAAACATTATTTCCCCTGGACACGCCCCACTTCCTACTGCCTCAGCAGGAATCCTCAAGGGGAGTGAGCTATCCATAATCAACTACCTTCATTTTCTGATCCATAGTGAAAGGCAGTGACATGACCACCTCATACTGTAGGCTGCGACTGATATCAATTAAAGAGACCCAAGGCTCTTATTTCATAGGTATTATGGCAACTTCAAGTCTGTCTAAACCAGGCTGACTCTTCATCCAGCCATTTCACAGCAAAGCTGAGACATCCACAGTATCGCTTGTAGGACATACTACACACTTAAAATCCTTCAGTGCCATAACAATCAGAGGTGTTTAGATGCACATTAGAATAAAACTTCCAGAAGGAAGCAGATTTTTGATGAAGATAATCTACATGGGGGATTAAAAAGCTGTATGCTTTGTGCATTTAGCAGGAAAGTATAAAAACATTTTTGTATAAACAAAGGGAAGATAAGGAGAAAATCACATTTATCTGCATGTGTATTCGGATTAATGAAATGAGCAGTTCACGCTCAGCACGCTTCCAGCCTGATACTCCAGCTGGAGTTACACACGCCAAGTGGAATTGTGGATCACTGAAGTTAAAGGAAACTTTTTCCTTGACTTCACTGAGGCCTGGAATTTTGCCAAAGAAAATTATTACTGTGAAAAATCAGAGTGTATGACATTATTATGTATTCTCACACACACTACTGTATCATTACAGTTTACTTACCAAAATCCTGAGAATCTGTTCTTGCACCTGGCTGTTTAAAGGGATGCACCACTTTTATCTCCACTGGTGGAAAAAATGATGGCTTCAGGCTAATTGTGACTACAACTTTTCCAGTATACTTGCTGGCTCTCCATATCATACCAGATTTCAACTCTGAATAGTACAGGTGCTCGGCAAAGAGAGACATACCAAGCAATTGATGTCTACAACAAAAAGAAGATAACACAAAGTGGCACATTACCTGATCCCTATATATTTACTCACTCATACGTTTTCTGAGCATCTAGTTCAGTCAAGTTCACTGTAAATAACCTTTCTTTGTATTCTTATATATATCTTATATTATCTTATATATATGAGAGTCAGATGAAGTGCCAGAGACATTCCCAAATAATCCAGCACCCAGAATCCTGCAGATATGCAAGTAATAGCTGCAAAATGGACAACCTGCATTTCTCACAGGTTATATGAGCTGTTGTTCAGGACTGACTCAACTGACAGAGAAAGCCTAGGTATCACCCTGCTTCTGGTGAACCCAGCAACTAAAATGGACACTTGCTTTGTTGAAGGATGTAGGCCAGATAAGTTCCCCTATTTCCTAATCTCCAGTGCCTGCTCTGATGCTTCTGACTGTCCCAGGAAATCAGAGTGGAGATGGAAGGGTAGGAGTAGGGCATTCCTAAAATCCATCTTACTGCTTCTCCTATCGCAGGAATTTAGTTTTCATTGGCTGGTCAGTTATAGCAGCCAGCAGGAACAACAAAAGGGCCCAGTTTTAAATAAGAGGAAAAGCAGAAAAAATACTGAAAGAGGGATTTTTGGCCTCCACTTTCCAGTACGTATTCCAGGTGGAAAAAGGAGAATCCGTATCATCCAGGTTCAACGGGAAAGTGTTGATGCCCTAGTGAACACCAGCCAACTCAAGGGAGAAAAGGGAAAAGGATAAGGAAAAATCCAGTCTGGCAGCTGGCAGTGTAGGGAGAAACCAGCTTTGTGTTCATCATATGCAAACGGTCTGCTGCATATTTGAATCGGCAGGCCAGTGAAACCATGTATTTTTCTCATTTTGCAGTTGGCAATTCCTATTACGCATATGCCAATCCAGCCATACCGACATAAACTGCAGTGATATAAGGTAACCTTTTCCTGAGTACCTCGCAGAAAGCATGCCCGCCACAGAGCAGCTGTACCACTGCAAAGCATGAAGGCCAAATATTAAAGGCACCTAAAAGCACGTGGGTCTAAGAGCCCCCTCAGCCGTGCTTAGCCTCAGCACCGGGGAGCAGAGGGGAACAAGTCTATCGCATAGGACAGTTTTCACCACATCTGCTGATGCTTGCTGAAGCACGGGGGGTTATCCAAGCCTCCCCGCCCAGCAGCTAAGGAGGACAACAGGCTTAGAGGAGGATAGGAAAGACCTGATCTAGCTCAGTCTCTTGAGCACAGCTCAGACACCTGAGCTCACCCACTGTGACCTTGGACAAATAATTTAATCTCTTTGTTTTTGACTTTTCTATCAGCAGAAAAAGGCCACTAATAAACACTCAGAGAGGATTTCTAAAGATTAAGTAGTTATCGTTTGCTAAAAGCTTGGAAGATGGAGAGTACTGAGTGGCAGTCTTATCCTTACAACAGTGACTTTTTTTCCATTTTCCTATCAGTAGTTTTAGATTTACAGTTACACGCCATTTGCACCACATTTTATACTCCTTATTGTGTTATGAACTGACAAAATAAAAGGGAGAATGAGGAAGAGAGCTTAACTGCATCCCTGGGAAATGAGTCTTTTATTTCTGACAAGCTCAGGAAAACTCACCGGACAGAATTTTTGAGCAAACGAACAGCTCCGCCATCATAATCGCATGATCCAATATGGGAAATCTCTTTTCCATGGTCATGTTGGATCCAGTAGAGCCTTGTGTCAACCAAATCTAGTGAGATGGCCTTTATTTTTTCTGTGGTTCTTAAAACATTTCTCACATCACTTCCACTGAGGGACACTCGGTGTATGCTGGAAACTGTACCATCTGAAGACCAAAATAATAGCCTGCAGGCAAGAGAAGCATCTTTTGAAAAACAAAAAAACCAAACACCACACTTGCAAGATCACATCACTGCTACACACTCCTTGTTTAGTTGCTCCCATATACAGAATTTTTCAGTCTTACCACAGTGCTTTCAGAACGAAAACTAATAATAAAGCAAGGGACTTCCTTTATACGTACTCACCTATTTCAGGAAAGCATCTCTGCAGGAGATATACAAAGCAGGAATACATCTCCTCTTAACATAGTTCTATTAAGAATGGAAATAATTTTTGACAATAAAGCATTGTCTGTTTAACAGAAGCAATACTACGACTAAAACCAGTTGTTTTCTTATTTTAATAAATATGTTTCTATCAGAGACTGTATGACTCTGTTCAGGAAGCAATGAGATACTAGAAATTTCTCTCATGTAGGTCAGGCAGGAATCAGCGCATCTTAACCACAAAGCACTATTGTCTGTCTGTCTGCTTCGTTTGGCCATGCAGTCAGAGAAGGCAACTGGAATAACCTCTCAAATCTACAGGGAATTCCTGCAAACTTGGGGAAAGGCACATCTTTGAGGCAGATACGCATTGCTCTCTGTCTCTAGGGAGGAATCTATCTCCAGAAACTCTAGTTGAACACATCACTTAACTTAAGTGCTTAACTTAAAAATACCATTTCAATTATTGTTCTCATTTCTTTCTACCTTCCTGCTGGTTATAGCAGCCAGACTATGCTGTCATTAAATTAAGACATAGTCAAAATACAGCTCCAATACTGAAAACAGTTATGCACTGAAGCTACTTATATGTCAAGTTATTCATGGATCAGAACCCAGATTTACTGATGTGACTAAGGTTAACAACAGTTCTTCCAAAATAGCAAGTTATCCCTCATTCATGTATATTTTAATTTTTGATGTTTGAGTTTAGAGTCTTTGCTGGGATTTCTTATGCACAAAAGTTCCAAGAAGCATCATCATTTTGCCTTGTCTTCACAAAATTGCAAAACTTGTATGTACAAAGCAATGTAGCATAAAGCCAGCTTTACTATATTTATGTTAATCATTTGTTAAAGGCCCCAAAATGGACTAGATCTCACTGGCAAGGGACTATACTAAACCAGTAGGAACAATCAGCCCCTGCCTCACAGCTTTTCTTCACTATTACATAGTCTACAGTTATCACGGGTTATTAATGTATAGATGAAAACATGTTTCCAGAAGGACAGCCCAATTGTACACTGCCATTTTTAAACACTTTATTAATATCTGCTTGCATTTCTATAGCACCTGTTATTTAAGAAACAACACTACTCTGGAAGTTTGGACAAATGCTAGGATTCACTTTTTACAGATAGGGAAACTAAGAAACAAAGGTAGTTATAGTCTCTATGCACAACTTTTGCAAATCAGTGTAGGGACAGGGTATGATATAAACAAACAGGAAAACAGAAGAAGAATGAAGATTAAAAACCGGCTTGAGTAATTTCCAGCCCTTACTGTATTTGCTGTCTATTTTTCTTCAGCCTTAATCCTTACTTTTCAGCATTTCTAAACACCATTAAAAATTTAAATCAGTCTTACAGCAATAGTTATATTATTACTATTAAAATAATCCTATCACTGCTAATATCTACACACATTTTTTGAGAAAAACTCTATTATTAGGGTATCACATTGACCTTCATTAATTAAGAGTTGCACACATTTGAAGGAAGACACTGTTAATATCAGATTTAGCTCACATTTATGCCTGTGCATGTAAAAATGCTGGGGGTTTTAATTCACTTCACATTAAAAATAGAGCCCTCAGAGTTTTCATACAAGCAAATTGCCATGGGGTATAAAAATGATGACTCCAAGACTTCTTGGAGTCTACTTTCTTTACAGTTTGTTACTGGCTTACTGTCCTCCCTGTGTAAGCACATGAGTACAGCTTTTATGCATGGTGAATCACACCTAGCTGAATATATGCACTTGAGTCTTCCCAAACTTTCGCATAAGTTCAGTAAATACATCCCTATAATGCCATTTGTAACGTGCTTTTCGATGGCATTTGACAGTGGGTTTGAGGACTTGTGAATATTTCCAAGATTGGTAAATACTGCATTCAAAAGCAAATCAGGAAAAAAAAAAAAATAGGCTAATGTTCAGGCCTTTAAATCCTACCTAAATGACAAGACTCCAAAGAATACTAGCAATGCTATTAGCATCAGAAGATTGGTTTATGTATAAATGTACTAGGAAAGGACACATAAGCCTTAATAATAAAATAGTTTCACACACTGCTGAGCAACCTTACTGCAAATCAAAAGCGGCAACAAAAACATGCTTTTGCTGTACAAAACAGAAGCATCTCAAAGTCTCCTCAAGCTTTTATTTTTGCAACTTTAGTGGAAGAGGCTTATGTGTAAAGAGAAATTAGCATGGAGTGTGACAATTCATATTGATAATTCTTGAGGAGGCCAAATCTCTTACGTGAGCATGGTTCTCAGTGTAAATGGCTTGAAGCTGAAAGAAGCATCTTTATGAATGTCAAATTACTAGTGACACAAAGTAGCAACAGTAGATTCAGAACCAATATTCAGAGCAACTGACAAAGAGACAAGGGAAACAGGAGCAAAACTGTAAGTTTAGACCTTTTTTCAGAAAGCATACCAATTTATACTCTAAGTGTGCCAGGGATTCCCAGCATTTGCAGGCATCATTCCCCTTATGCTCCAATCCTGCTTTCTGCTGCCCTGAAACTTTGCTGTCTTTGAGAAAGGACCAGCAATGCCTCTTTTCCCTCAGCTCTCCTCACTAGCAAAATTTTCGCTGATGACCAAGAGGTATAGATTCCGCATTAGACTTCAGTGGGCTTTTCTCACGCACTTCTCTATTTCTCTCTTATATGCTTACTAATCTTTTATCCTCTTTTGTCAAAGTTCAAGGAGGTATTGGACTATAGATAATACACTGTGCACAGACTAGCCCAGCAGCCTATAAACTGCAATCATAGTACTTTGCATATTTTGAGTCCTTTTCAATGAAATTACTAACCTAGTTAAAATTACCTTTGCTCAGCATCAATGGTAATCCTTGTGGGACGACCAACATCTCTTAGAAGAACTCGGCGTTTCTTCCCATTCATGTCTGTTGCTTCTATGGTTGCTTTCTGTCTGTTGACCCAGAGAATGTCTTGATTTATCCAGTCAATAGCAAATCCTGAAATGCCTTTGTCTATGTAACATAGTCTCTGTAAACAAAAAAAAAGTTGACAACAAGAAGCATCCTAATGATTACCTTAAACTTGACTTTCATCGTAAGGAATAGAATGTCAGACTGAAGCTGCCCATTTCATTCCTTCACCTGCTTCATTTTCTCTCAGACCTGTAGATGTTTCTCTTTCTTATTCTTTAATCATTTTAATTTGGTCTTTGTACTTACACACACTCCTTCTGAATTGAGTGACCCCCTGCGAAAGGGGAAACTGTTCTCCATGAGAAATACACTGGACTAATATTTTAGTTACAACTTCTTGCATTTGGCACACTATGAAGCACCCAGACCTGTACTGTTACAGATGGAAGACTTCCTAACACACTGTTGCTGGACCCTGATCCTTAAAAATCAGCATAAAATACATCAGTGAAGATTCCACATGGGTACAGGAACACTCTCTCAAACAAAAGAAGGCTCTCACAGCATTAAAGTTCAGCCACAACAGCCTGTCTGCCCTTTAATCAGCCGAAAGAATGCCACCCCCCCCCCCCCAGCCTGTCTGCCCTTCTTAATCAGCCAGATGCAATGAACTGCACAGCTTTTTCTGAACAAAGAATGAACTGCTAAAAGAAGCATTTATGCAACCACAGAAACCAATAAAAGGTTTGAGAAAAAATGAGTAGGAATTCAAGCACGTTCTTCTCATACCATTTGTGCCAGTTTGAGTTACAGTAATCTGGAAGACAAATTTCCATAATGCCAGGGATTAATTTAAAACTGATAAACATTATTGTCTTCAAAGCTTTAGTTTGTCTGAATTTCCTCTCCTTCATTTTTAACTCCCCTTCATCTGATCCACAGAAAATACTAAATGTACTGTGAATGCCAGTAAAACAGCCTAGACTCAGGACCATAACTATTACGACGGCAAAAACTATTTAATAAGTCTGAAGTGCTAATCAATGAACAGGAACGGCAGAATTGTACCTAAAGAGCAGGTGGTTTCCATGGAGGGTCGTATGCCCATTAACTCGGAGAATTCCAGAGAACTGATTACTTTACCTCTCGTTTTGTGCCATTCAGCTGAATTCTTTGAAGTAGTCGCCTATCAGAGTCTACCCAATACACTTTCTCTTCTGTATAATGAAAATCCATAAGCGTTGACTGACCAGTATCAGCTACCAATCTTTCATGATTGGTCCCTTCAGTGTCAATTCTAAAGATGCCATTTCCATGGCTAAAAAGGAGGAATGGTGCAGGGTCTGGTGTGGAGAAAACAAAAAGAGACCAATTAATAGATAAGCATTGCACTTTTGCTGCATTATGTTCTCATCAGTATTATACTAACCAAAGAGAAAGTTCAGGATCTAAACACCTCTCATATTTTAATGGTAACTTTCCAGGCATATCACAGAGAACCAATAAGATATAAATGTAATGGTTCTTTCACATTTAATGCTGAAAGTTAGGCCAAAAACCTGAGTTGTGACACTGAGATTGCAGTGGTTGTTACCACTAATCCCAAATCCTACAGCCTAGTCAGAATTCGGAAGAACCATTGCATGCGTGCCGACAGAGGTTGGAAGAATTATGCCATGGATGCGTCTCCAAGTCGAAGACCACTTCTAACTATTGTTTTATAGCAAGAATTTATCACAGAGACGTGGTCTGGAGTCTCACTTTAACTACCTGAGCAGGGAAACTGAAGATCCCAAGACAGGGCAAAGGAAGAAGCTAGAGACTGTGAAGGTTTCTTGTGATGCAGAGGGCTGAAGGAAACCAAAAGACCTGTACTTAAAACTCCTACAGCTCAACAGCAACAACTCCTTCCAGACAAAAACTGTATTCATACTGAGTGAAGGGTAAGACTGTATCAGTAACTTAACATAAAATACGTTAAAATGAAAGTTGTTCCAATTACGCCCCAAACTCTAGAAATCAAATTAAGGTTGAAAGTGATGAGCAACTAGGATGGTCCAAATAGCCTTAACGCAGCCTTAAAACCAGGTGATAAGTATGGAAGTACAATTAGTAGGACATAACAGTTGGGGCTGCAGATTACACTAACGCAGTTTTATCAAGCCCTTTTTGTTATTTTTGGGGTATTTGGGGGTGTTTTTACCATAGGGCAGGGGTAGGATTGTCCAAGGAACCTTAACTGCGTTCCCAAACCACAATGGTTTTCATTTAGGCAATTTGACTATTATGGATGTCTATCAAGTGTGTAGTAGAGGAAAGGAGTTTTTCTGTAACCAGTCACATTTTAGCCTTCGTTTTAAAAAGGAACATGTTTTTTTCTAATTTAAAAAAAAAAAAAATTGGGGGTATACAGCCTAGTCTTTAATTTACCACTAAAACAACATTCAAAGAAGAAAGCCCACTGTGGCGGTGATGGGGATTTATAGCATGGTTGCCTGAAACAACAGGTAAGGCATACAAGTAATGCTCTAACCAAGTGACTTTGAAATGCAATTATTGATAGATGCAACAGAATGACAGCTTTCAAGCCTGTCTAATCACTTGTTGAATTGATCTTCCTGCAATGCAGAGCAACTCTCCATTTATCAGAGATGGATGTCGTCAAAGATGAACTATCATCAGTTTTCTTGCACATATACTTTTGAAAATAAACTGGTTCTAACCAAGTGACTTTGAAATGCAATTATTGATAGATGCAACAGAATGACAGCTTTCAAGCCTGTCTAATCACTTGTTGAATTGATCTTCCTGCAATGCAGAGCAACTCTCCATTTATCAGAGATGGATGTCGTCAAAGATGAACTATCATCAGTTTTCTTGCACATATACTTTTGAAAATTAAACTGGTTTTATTGACCAGTTTTGCAACCTTTATACTTTTGAAAATTAAACTGGTTTTATTGACCAGTTTTGCAACCTTTATACTTTTGAAAATTAAACTGGTTTTATTGACCAGTTTTGCAACCTTTTAACTAAATATCTTTACTATTAGCATGAAACCTGAAGCTTGAAACTCAACAGACATCACTTCTACAAATTTTAGCCAGATGCTCCACCTTCATCATGGTTATAAGGTTGTTTGATTCAACCCCTTTCACAGCAGAGGAATGAGACCAATTTTGATTTCTTCAAGTGAAGAGCAAGTTAGGCAGAAAGTTCTGACAAGCACCCAAGATGTAAGTTTCTTCTGTTCACAAGGAAGATGATTAGCACTCTGTTTCTATACTAACACTCTTTTGTATCTCAAGTTTTCAAGCTATCACCCAGTTATAACAGCTGCTTCTAGGATTTTAGTGACTCCCTTTTTCTGCTGCTATTTGCACTGAGCAACCCCATGTGAGAATATTTAAACTATGAAGACTTGTTTTGCGTAAATGGTAAACGAACGGTGAAGTGTGGCAAGGCTGATTTATCTCAGGAATTTGACAGCTGTACTGCCTGCATTTTTGCCAATTAGTTGACCAAGAGCATTTATATACTTTGGTTTTGTCCTTTCCACTCTCTGAATTCCCTATCAGGCGTCCATGAGTGAGGGCTGTAAATGGAACAGGGAGCGAGCAAATGTAACTTTGATTACAGAGGCACCAGTCAGATTTGCGACTTAATTTTGTCAGAGGTTTAATGAACAGGTAAACAACACCTGCATCAAAGAGCTTCCTGTCTTTTAAACGTGAGGGTATTTCACTTGGTGTACCCCTTACAGAAGGGTTTATACCTAGCACAAGGGTTCCTTATCCATCACAGTAGCTCCTGAACCATCACTCACTCTCTACTGGTACTATAAATGTGGTAATAATGTTAAAAAAAGTTGAAGTCCTCCAATATTAAGGTAGGATTGTTCTTTGAAAGATACCTGTGCATATATATCAGTGTGAGGTAACATGTTTGTTTTCACCTCTTTTCAGTTCAGAAGTGAAGAGTTTACAAAACATTTGATTAAAAAAAAATTAAAATTCTATTTAAGGGACTAGAGATGTTTAGGCATGACTACAAAAAATCCAGCTTGGTTTTTGTGAGTCACATGTTGCTGTCAACAACGATGATTCTGGGAGCTGACTGAAGTAATAGTGTTGGTGCCAATTTGGGAGCTGCACAGAATACTTTTGGTTATGTTCATGGTACCAAAGGCTACATGCACAGGGACTCAAGTACATCTCCTACTTCTTGGGTCAGAAAAATGCCCTGTCACATCCCATCTCTGCATTAGCGAGAGTCCCAGGCAAACATTAGTCAGAGAAAGAAAACCTGAGCTCCTGGATCAGAAGTGAGCTGTAGCATATCCCAGACAGGAACCAAAACCAGACATTCAGGAAACCAAGGCGGAGAGGTGAGAGGTGAACTTCAGAGCACTCCCACCTCATACTCTAGATGCAATATAGGGTTGAACCAATCAATAAAATCTAACTAGATTTTTTTTCCCTGGGTAGCATCCGTTGAGGACAAAATGAAGGTTATTCAAAGGCCATAACTGTGGATATTTTCCTCTTAGAAGGGCTAAAAACTTAATTTAAATGCATCTTACACATTCAAAAATCAATTTATACACTCAGGACAGAGCAAAGGAGAGAAAGAACTCACAGTAGCACTCATGTTTATTAAGAAACCACCAATGGGCCAAACCAAAAATAAGGGCTTCCTGCTTATGATTTCACAGCACTGTCCCTAGAACCTAAACACACTGGAAAAACATCAACGCCAACACACTGAAAGAGGCAAAGGTAGCAAAATCTTGTGTATTGCCGTGTTTTCCTGGAAGTAGTAGGGACGGGATAAGAGAGTTTAAAGTTCCGAGCACACAGAGAGAGAATGTCTACTAAACAGGAAGTCATTGTTTAGTTTTATTTGTTTGTTTTCATATGTTCATTCATCTTCCCACCACCGTACTTTCCATTCTTCACCATCACTCTTCTGTGGCACCCACTTTTGGCCTTGCTGCTTACCCACACAGTAGAAGAGGCAGTTTTTCCATCAGTGAACCAGAGCACCCCAGTCGCTGTCCAGTAGGGACCAGCCGGGCACGGTTCACTTTGAAAAATAATGCTAACTAAGTCTCTAAAGCTCTTTTTTTAGTCATCAAAAAAGAAAATGACCTTACCGTTCACATAGCAAGACCATTTGTCAATATCCAAAGTGTAGCCGGGCAAACAGGAGCAGATGTAGGACCCTGGAACATTGACACAGGTTTGGCCACAGGTTCCCAAACCGCCTTCAAGGCATTCATCGATATCTGAAACATGGTTTTGAACAGATCAGGAAAATTCAGCTAGCAAAAGCAGCAAAGAGCAAAGAGAAGGAATACCCTTGACATAGTTACCTAATAATAAATTGGTCACAAAATTTAATATCCCATCATTAAAATGGAGAGTAAGATGGCTGTATTGCTTCATGCATTGGTTTCAGAATTATTGTTTTGTCCGTTGTCACATGCACAGTGATTTTTTTTTTTTTTAGAAGACTGTCCAGGGAAATTATCATTCTCCCTAGTGTCTGGGCACTCTGGTCTCTGATTGCCCAAACACAGGGAACAGACTTGTCTCATACTCCATTTCTGTGATTTGCATTATCATTTGCTATGCAAATGCTGCCTGCAGCTGCTTCCACAGTAATAATTTTGCCAACAAATTAACAAACTTTGCAAAACAGCAAAGCAGCAAACAGACGGCCACAGCACTGAGTTCCACATTGAGCTCATTTTGGTTTGTCAACTCTCAAAAATACATACAAAACACTAAAAACTCCACTATATTCTGACAGCAACAAGCCCAAACCAAGGCAACAAGCAAACTAATTAGAAACTTGGCTTTTAACTGGTAGATTAGGCTAGAGCCTTTAGGAATTAAAAGATATTTGATGTATTTACGGTGTTTTATCAGGGCTTGAGGCAGTAACTATTAATTAAGTCCTAAATTAAGGACTTTATTTTTCAAAAAAAGGTCATCGCTGGGGAGCATATTTTACACTAAGGGGGAAAGAATTTAACCCCTTTGGCAGTACCATGGATGATTGTCCCCGAAAATTTAGATAAACTTCAGTTCCTACTGAAAACAAATGCATCCGATAGTAACTTCCCGAGGTGCTTGACATCTGGCAGTACCATATCTTGGGATATTTCTTGTATAACCACTGTCAGGGTTGCTCTAAGGAGCAGCTTTTTCCCTGCCCAAGATCTATTTGATGTCACTGGCTTTTGTTCTGGGTTTTATCGTGTGATTTTGCACACACAGGAAAAAAGGAATCAACACAAATTATTTTAAAGAGAGAGACACGTTTGATTAAGTCACTAAAGGACATTGATTCATAACCAAAACTACATATATATATATTGAGTTATTCCAAGTATAGCTCACAACAATTTATTTTTTTTCTGTATTCCTGATCAAGAATTTAGGGCAACAGAAGAAGAGCTTCTCCTTGGATAACTTATCTTAGATGATCATTTGCATAAAGTGCCAATTATCACAGTGCTGCAGGAGGTCTGTGAGTGTTAGGTGAGGATTCCCCTAGTTCAAAGAAGGTCAGAAATGGCACCTCATGATAACTGCAAGGAACTGCAATTTAAGCGACTCACACCAGCACTTTGAAAGAAACTTTTTCTCTCCCAGTAACCTAGGGAGAGCTAAGCAACCAGATCTCTGATATCCCATGGGTCTGGGAAACTGTCTCCTTTAACTGCTTTAAAAAACTACATGCAGCAGAAGTGTTTAGGGTTTTCTTCTGTGTCAGGTATCAAAGTTGTTCAAAAAGAATGTCAATGCTTTACAGCCACCTAACATGTCTGTACAGACTAGGGAATGTTTCCGTATCGTTTTCAGAGTTTTCCCACAACGTTATGTTCCACATAGCAGATGAACTAATTTGACAATGTATGAAGCATAATCAGAGCGCATGCAACTGATTTCTGTTGAACAGATTATGAAGGTAAAGCAGAAGCATTTTCAGGAACTTAACTCCATAAAGCACTCTAATTCTAACCCACAATCTTCTTCAAACAATCAGCTTTTAGGAGCATATTTTCTCACATGTACTAGGGATGCATATGCCATTCTCCACAGCATTGAAGTGAACTCCTCCAAATCGCCTCTAGAAAGGTTTGACTCACTTAGAAGTTTGTCAATGGGCTACAGAAACTGTGAGCTCCAGGTTGCCAGTTTAAAACTAGCTACTCCTGGCTAACGTTGCCTGGATGTCGTTAAAACTAAAGGGCTCTTTGATAACTAATACGGGAGGGCTTTGGTGACCTCAGCTCATTGTCACAGCTGCTGTCAGTGTTAGCAGAGATGTGAAGAAGTATGCAGGCATGAACACTGTTTGTATCTCTCCCTGATGCACTGGTTTTCAAATGGAGTAACTGGCTGACTAAGCCGGACAGTTGATCGGATCTAGTCACCGGTACAAAAGCAGGTGCAAGCCTCTGTTGATAAAGGCTATAATGTAGTTCATGTTAGTCAATATACTTTTATGACAATAGTGGCTTGTTAAATAAATCTGATGTTATTTCTCTGAGGAAATCACAAGTATGGGTGATAAAGGCAACTGTGTAGATGTAAGATTGCTAAATACAAAGGTCATTTGACTAAGCAATGTGAAACACTGATAAAAGAACTATTATTCAATCTCAATAAAGAACACATTAAATAAGAATAAGAAAGATAGGCCTGACCTACAGATTGTATCTGGAAGACTGCTTACTCTGACAAGAATTTGTGTTCATACTGGACAGAAAGCTGACCTCTTAGCATGTTACTGGGCAAGAAAATTCAAATCACAACACATATAAACACAGGAGAAATGAATGACAGCGGAGAAATAATTTTACTTCTGTATATGGCAGTGATCAGACTATATTGTCATGCTGTTTGTATTTCTCAGATACAGGTTAAAGGGTCCTGAAAAGTTAGAAAGTGTATACAAGGATAAAAAGCCTGATCTGAGTGTAAGGAAAAGTGCCTTTCTGTGAGACACTTAAAGAGCTCAGTCTGCTTAGATTATCTGAAATAAGCTTGAGAAAAGGCTTGATCACAGTATATAAATACCTTCACAAAGAAAAAGTATCAGATTTTCTAAAGGACTGTATAATCTTTTGCAGGAAAGATTTAACAAGGACTGATGGCTGAGAACTGAAGCCAGGGAAATCAAATTTAGACATTAAATTCACATTTTAACAGGAAGTGTGATTCACTAAGGGAACTAGCTACCAAGAAAAATTGTGAACGTGTGAAAAACATCAGTGGATATTCTCAAGTCAAGATCAGACTGGGAAGACATGCTTTAAGCAAGCACAGGTTACTGAGCTGTGTACCAAGGTAACTGGACAATGACCTGTTATTTACAGGATGGATTTTCCAGCTTTATATGAGTGTACAAAACTGACTCTCTAAGAAAGAGCATGCTGATTGATCAGGCTACAAGAATTTACACTGCCTCCCCAGCAATTGTACTTGAAGAGAAGATTTCAGGGTTATCAATCTACTTGATAGATTGATAATCTACTTTCATCACCACCAAAGTTCACATAATAAAGCAAATCCCACACATACTGAAAAGCAAGCAATTGCCCCAGCTGAAGAAAGGCTATAGTGGAAGAATAACCGCCCAATAAAAGACAAGGGGTGCAGCGGCGACAGGCAGCTCGGCCACCGGAGAATGCCCCTTCCAGCAGTAAACAGGAAGCACCAACAGACACAGCACTATTGTAGAATACGCTGCAGCCCTGTGAACATTCAGCTTTTATGGCACTAACAATGGAAGAGGGTCCTATGCTTAACATGCTCCCTTCTTTGCTTAAAGTACAAAAACAAAACAAAACAAAACAAAGGGCTGTTTCTTAAGGTTTAGAAGAACTCGATCATAAAACCATCCATCAGGTGTAACTAGCAGTGCCTTCACCTGCACTCTTAGTGACAAAGCAAAGCACGGAGTTGCATCCTGCTGTAGCTGTTTTACGTGTCCTGGCAACCACATCCCCCAGTGGGAACTTTACCCTGTGAAAGAAATCGGCTTAGTGAACACAAAAGCCGTCTGCAGTGCCCTGACAGCCATCCCTGAAAGGAAGAATGAGGTTCTGCTCAGTTCTCAAAGGCTTCTTTATGCAAAAAATGCCTTGAGAATCAGCAAAAACAATGAATCATGTCATCATGATGTTGGCAGCTCTCAATGACTTTGCATACAAATATGCTACTTTATTGAGAGTCCTGAGAAATGCTCTGATTGCAGAAGGTGAAGCATTAGTATGCCTGGCAGGGATACAGAGAAACCACAGTGAGACAGAACTTGCGTTTCATTATGGCCACAAATACATACATTATATACATAAAATATACATGTATATTGTATATACAATATACACACGCTCAAATAACCTCGCTCGAATTTGGTTCCTGTTGGAGTTGGACTGGGGATTAATTCAATCCGCTATATCTAGCCACCACCATAATCTTTTCAACAAGGTTGAACATGAAATTTCATCTGGGTTACAAAGAAAGCAGCCCATCCCTTTTATCTATTTTGTTAAAAGCATACAGTTCAAAGAACAGAAGATAGCCAGAAATGGAAAAAGATGCTCCATCTATCAGCAGGTCACAATAAAATAGATGAGGCACAGCTCAGTATCCTCTCTCTCTAATTTTAAATGAGGTTTAAACTACAACCTGATCACTCTCAATTTTTGAGGTTACAAAGAAAGCAGCCCATCCCTTTTATCTATTTTGTTAAAAGCATACAGTTCAAAGAACAGAAGATAGCCAGAAATGGAAAAAGATGCTCCATCTATCAGCAGGTCACAATAAAATAGATGAGGCACAGCTCAGTATCCTCTCTCTCTAATTTTAAATGAGGTTTAAACTACAACCTGATCACTCTCAATTTTTGAGAGGACAGAGGCTCTGAGGTGCTCAAATACTCAAATTCAGAAACCACTTGTAGACGTCTTGAAGAGAAATGGCAAAAAAGATCTCTAGGGACTACAATATCTTTCATTTTCTACCTTTCTGGACTCAGATCTCAAGGGTTTGGAAAAATGGAAAAAAAATATTTTTGGTTTTGTCTTTGAAATAAATTCTATGTGCAAATTAGTAACTACAAAATGGACCTCTACTTCCTGGATCATGCAACTTTCAACATACTGTTATTGGCTTGCCTTTCCTGGCCCTCTTTGAAAGGCATCAGCAAATACTGTCATCCAGCTCCCTTTAAAATCGGCTTTCAAATTAGATACTAGAAAGTAGTCAGTTTTGTTTAAAACAGAACACAAAATTAATATCTGCTATTTTCCACTGAGCAAAACAATGACAAGTCTTGCAGTATTAGTCATTGGTCCTGGAGTCTGCCCCTTAGCCCTTTTCAGGATTAAGCTTCATGTGATGTGTGACGCCATTTCTGTCATTTCTTGTAACATATTCACCTCCTTCCTATTTTGATCTAAGTTTTCACAGCTAAAGATAGTATTTGTCCACATTCCGCTGGATCCAATTTCCAGAGAATTCAATGGAAATCTTCTCGTGAATTGGTCTGTGGGTTCAGACCCACGTTCAAGAATTCCTGACTACTATTTGGTAACAATATTTTCAAGCATCTTTCCCCAAGGCAGTATAATATGAAGTGAGCTATCTGGAAGACAGCTACTGAAAACAGGGAAACAAGCATGCCTCGACTGCAGCTCTTCTGAAATACAGAGGGATACCGTGGGGTGTCAACAGGTTTATCCCTATGTCATGACAGGGGTAGACAACACAGTTCCCCATTTCACTGGCTCTTACTGCTCCTTACGCGATGCTTGCAAAGAAAGGATAGCTGTGAATTAGTAAGGTTTTGGCATTTCATATTTCTCAGAATACAACATAAGAAGCTTTAACAGTGTGTCTTCAGAAGGCTGTATGGAGCAAAGTGAAGCCAGGATTTAGCTAATTAAGGTGAATTTAAAGATGTAACACAAAGAGGAATAACTTAATATTCCGCATCACCAGTGCTCCGTGGCAGGAGAGTGGTAAACAGTAAGAAAGAAAGGAAGAAAGCTTGAGACACAGAAAGAAGCATCTGACCAAAAGAGCTGACCTAGATAGCTGCAGTTGTCACCTTCAGTTGCGGGCTGTAGCTCTGTAAGAATGTGCAGCATGTTAGCCCTGAAGAAGTGACACGGTCTGATCAGTTAATGTGAGAAGTTAGTAGAGATGTGCAGAATTTAAGAACCTACACTTAGGTAAAACTTCAATAATGTGGGTTGTGCTTTGCCTTCTTCAAAAACTTTTTTACAATATTGTTGGTTTTTTTTAAATAACTATTTTCCTTCACTTTTAAAACTTACAAATTGAGTATTCAAAGAGCCCTGAAGCCAAAGTACACCTCCAGTCTTGCAGTATCCAGAACATAATATATTTACCTAGGGTAGCCCAAGACTAACAGGCACTAGTATCCAGTCTAAAATTGATAATGCAAGGTGCTGCTCTAGGGGCTTCTTCAGATAAACAGTGCCACGTGGGAAACTTTTTGGTCTCGAGTGGGGAAAGCCCATGAGAGAATAAAAAATAGTGTTGTTAAAGCGGTACTTCAGGAGGGCACAGGAAACTGATTCCAACAGGCATAAGGCCCATCCCCTGGTGTACCGTGTATGCTTACATGGTTGAATATTTTAGAAATCAAAACTCTCCCAGGACCAACTATGCACATATTTTTACCTTGTAGGAATAATAACTCCTGTGTAGCCCAGACCATTTTTCTTTAGAGGTAAAAGGTTCTATGTTTTCACTGGGGTCTAAGAAAGACGAGTTATTTAAAGGTAACTGAGTCCCCAGTCCTGACATCAGCTTAAAATAAATTATTAAATCAAGATGGTAATGTCAAAAATTGCAGAAATGCTTCCAATTCTACCATAACTTGCCGATAAACTGATATGTTCATTCACCAGACTAGTCTTATTCTGCCCTCATGATCTGTTCTGACCTCATGATCTCTTCTCCCATACTTTCTCTCTCATAAACCTTGCTGTTGTGGGACACGCAGCCCCTCTGAAAGGCCTCTCCTCTCTTGGCATACCAAGTCAGGATTCAAATAATCTCTCTTAAAATAACTGTATAAAATTATGTGAGACATTTAGGGTTAGATTTCATTATCCTTCCACAGGATGAGAAGGTCTTTGATCTTTGAATATCCCTAGAAATAAAAGGAACTAATTAAGAAGTGAGCTATTTAGCAATGTAAGAAGAGCACGACTTAGACCTTCATCTGTAGTGGAAGTATGGAAAACAAATCTAGAAAAGCCTACACACTTTCCAGTAAGCGTTGCTTGTAACAGTTCACTAACAGAGAGCAGACACCTTCTCAATTCAGGGTAGTCCTTATGGCTGGCACGATGCCACCACAATCACAGATGACAAAGAACATTTTACAATTGGTATATTTATTACAGCTCACCAAGAATGGTCACCAAGCCACAGTTCAGCTTGCTGTCATTGTTCACAGTTCGGTGATATGAGTCATATCTCCCACTCACCACTTTTATCCCCACTATTACCTTCAAAGCCTGCCTGCAGCTTCCTACCACTTGCTTCCACTGCACCCTCTATCTCACATAATTAATGAACCAGAATATCATACATCCGGTCTTCTGGTCAGAACACAACTTGTGTATCCAGCACACGGAGGAAAGAACAGGGGAAATCCATTCCACCAAAGCATCCTTCAGTCTCACGTTTCATGTCAAAATTTCACCTTTGCTTAATCCCCTGTAATCCAATGGTATCTAATTAAAAGGATACCCTAGCACATCTCATTTTTCATTTATTCTATGTTACATGGAATTGCTCAGAGTATGTTATAGTAACGTTAGCTCTTATGCAAAAGACGACTTCTACTACTATTTCTTGCAGAGTTTGCTGAGCTACCGGCCATTCTGGTTTGGTGCTTTACCTGGAGTGCCCCCATTCATACAGCAGCTGAATGTATCTAATTTTCGACAGAAAAGACATAATGCAGGGCAGGTTATGTCTCCATTAATGGAAGAATGATGTACAACAATATGCGAAATATGTCAACTGAAATAAAAAATACATCTTTCCAGCCTTTTGAATGTCAATATTTAGAGTGCATTTTGACTCATTAAACAATAGCCAAGCGATTCCCTTCACATCAGTAGGCTTCTCCTGTTATATGTGAGCTCTTAATTGGGCAACCCAGTAATGTAAAAGTCATAACTAATATACATCCTAATTAGCTTGTGGAAGTTATGTACATATCAGCAAATAGTGTGGACCTATAGGAGAGGCTGTGTAAAGTGCAACAGTTGCTGAGGATATGACATACACGCTGCATATATTTCAGGTTGAGGTTGCGGAGAACGAGATCTAGTCTGGTCCCATGGACCGAATGGCCATCAACAGCGGCGAGGACAGATGGTCTCCTATGGGAACACCTTCTGGTTTAGGTTGGCCTAAAGGGACTCCAGTTTGTGCACTTTGAGAGTGCTCCACAATGTGAAGACAAGCACAGTAAGAGGTGGCAGTATGGAGATTCATTTCAGAAGTGTGCTTCTCATTTGAATTCAAGCATCAGTGTGGAAGCACCCTAGGTGAGTTTGGTTCTCAGATAAACCTTCAGTCGGGTTTATCATTTGTACACAAAAAATGCCTAGCACCTTCTCTCTCAATCCGAGAGCATTTAACATGCATGCTTCTATTTTCTGCTTACAAGATGGTATTTCTTGGCAGAATGCACAGAGGAGGCACCTGTTATTAAATCACTGGAATCATGTCAAGAACTGAGTCAGAGCCTCTGAAGTCCAAGCAATCTAAGGCAAAAGCATTAACTCCAAGTATTAGGTCTGTTTGCTTGAATCCTTACAGAGTGTTTCCTCATCTCCTTACCGCAAAGCCCATGACTTCATTGGCTCTGGCTTTCTAAAAAAAATTGGACTTCAAGGTAGCAGGGTAGGGAGAAGGGTTCTGTCATTCTTTGTCTTACACTTTGTAAAGAATAGGAACCTGTATTTTACATGTTCCAAATCACTGGAGGTAATTATATTAATATCGGTGTCATACATTTCACCCAGACTTTAGTACTACAGTATCAAACACACCTGCGATTTATGTATTGTATGAGACGCATTATTTAATATAAGCACACATATCTACATGCACCAATAAACATAGAAAGAGTAGTTTTTAAAGTTATCTAGACCACATCTAAGTATATACTAATACATAATCATTAAAATACACTTTCTATGTGTATATAGAAATACAAAAATACACCTATACACAAATTTTACATACATAGAAGCACGAATATGTGTGTGTGCACATGTATTGAAAATACGAGACACTAAAGCTATGGCAAGGAATTTTGGTAACTAGGGAACAGTTCAGATCTCTTAATGATCATATAAAAGTTTATCCTGCTTTCCGATAGTTAAACTGACAGACAAGTGACTGATTTCTGAAAAACAAACTAAATAAAATGAGTTCTGTTCATTATGAGAAGCAAAAGAGATTGAGAAGCTGATTTATCAATTCTGCCAGTATAACACACAAGCAATCTGTAAAAAAACTCTTTGAAAATTATAAAGCTCAATTAAGGGAATACAAATGCAGTTTTCTTAATCTGTGACTAGTCAGCAACTTACCTATACAAGAAGAGTTTTCAGTCTTCAGTCTGTATCCATTAGGACAGTTCCAGTGCTGCAGAGCTGAGAGGCTGACAAAACCAATTTTAAAAACCACTGGCAAAAAAGCAACAAGCAAGAGAAACATAATCTTGAGGGGTTTTTGAACTGTCACTAGAGAAAAACTAGTTTGTATTCAGTCATATCCAGGACAAGATGAGCATGTGTAATCCCAAAAGGTTTCTGCAATCTCCCACTTTACACTCAGACATCTTATCACAATACCAAGTTTTATCTTTGCCTTGCTTTTCTTGTCACTTTAGCCCTTACTGTGTCTGACTACAACCTTGAGGAAATTCCTGGGAGATTTCTTCCCCACACACGTCGGTTTTTTTCTCTCTCTCGTTTGTTTCTTTTTTTTTTTTTCCTGGAAGCCAAGTATGAAATGCCTGACACTCTTGCCACAAATTTAACACAGCTTAAAAGCAATGCTCGCAAGGATCACTGCAAATTTCCTCACAACAAGCAAAACTGCTGTTTAAATCTTAAAAGCAGTGAATTTAGAAAACTGTTCACCACAGCCCTCAGTGGAGTACAGGGAGCGAGATCTCCAGGTACCGTCCTTCTCCAATATGCAGTTGCTTTTTACATACAAACTTAGACAGACTCCTCTTTTCTTTTTAAAGCTCTGCTTGCCCCACCTCTTCTCTTTTTAGTACCACTTGAGTGAACCCTGTGTTTGCAAATAGTAATGTGGTCAGTTCCTTACTACAGGGAACTGAGCCAGAATGCAGATACCCAGCCACCCGTAATAAATACAGTCTATATAGAAAAGCAGCCCCTCCTGCTTGAGAAGTACCTGCGGCATGCCAGCTAAGTTTTATTTCTCAGGGATTGTAGGCAGGTTTATACCATGCCTGTTCAATCATGATTAGTTGCATTCATTTTAATATTGTCATGTGTTTTACCACCAGAAACAAACTTTGTCATCAAAACATTACATGCAAAAAGGGAAAAAAAAATCCCTCTGGTTTCTCCGATATATTTCAACTGGAAATACAAATTGGCTTAAGGTCAAGTTCAGATCTAGGGTATGTGTTTGTAATTCTGATTTCAAAGAAGTTGCAACCACCACTCTCAGGTCTGAATTTGGCCCTTCTGTACTTCCAGGAAAATACCTGCTGTCAGAGACTGAGGCAACATTTTCTGAGTCTGCATCTCTTACACATGTTGCAGTCATTTATATGCACACATCAGTGCTGTAAGAGGCTACTGTTGTGATGCAGTGCTCTTTTACACCTGTTTTGCTGAGGTAGATAAACTAGAGAAATTCCAGGTGCATCAAGATCATAATTCTTCCAGTGTTCAAAAAATCTCCTTTTTTCCCAGTCCTTTGGCCCAGACCTGCAAAGCTCTAGTGCGCAAGCATAAGTGATTTGCTGAATTTTGAATGCGTTGAGATTTAAGCAGGTGTTTAAATGGTTGACTGTGCCAGGCTTTGTTGAGCTAACTACTGTGAGGCATTCTGGTTCTGTCATTTTTTTCTTTCCTCCTTTTTGTTTTTATTTCTGCAGTGTTGTGCTAGAATAAATACTAATACAACAGCTGGATACAGCAGCAGCAGACAGTAACCTACAGCTGTACAAGTTCCGTCTCTGAGAATCCTGCCCCCCCCCATATTTGTCTGAGGCGATAAGAGTCCAGACTTGCATTGTCAGAAAATAAGAAGCATGAAACCTGATTATAAATTGGGTCACTCTCCATTAAAAGCAACTATTTCTTGATGTTTCTGCCTGTGTGTAGGCACATTTTGCTCACTCAATCTTCACTGCTACAGCTAATGCAACTAATTAAATCTGGACTGACAAATGGCAGCCACATTTCCATATAGTCTGTTCAGAACCGAGTCTCTATTCTGCATGCTATAAAATACAATAACAGTAATGTAAATTATGCAGGGCCAGACCCATGCCAAACAGCATTTGCTTCTCCAAATAGTCCCCTGGAATACAAAAGGGCAACCAATGTGAAAGCACAGTATAATGCCATCCCATCTAGGATTACAGGATCCTGCCCAGGAACTGTGGTATGTTCCACATGAACCTTTTTTACTAATTCTGCAGCCGTCGGTTCCTCCTCACACAATTTTCTTCAGTGTTCAAGCTGGGAGCATGCAACCCAAACAGCTCAAAAGGAATGTGTCGCTTCTTTGTGAGCAACCACCAGCAGAGTGTTTGCTAGACCATGAGGGTGGCCGTCCCAGCACAGCCCTGACCTCTTCCAGGGCAGACTCAGACAAACTCACTGAAGGAGACAAAATGAATAAGCTCTCCCTTTCCTATTAAAACCCAGAAGCAATTTCTCTTACTCACATTCTTTTAGCCTCTCATTTACACGCACTGCCTTTTCTGAACATCTCCCTCAATCTTCTCCCCCCTGCTCCATTTCCTCTTTTTGTTTTACTCAAAACACAGTCAAAGGCATGTCCCAGAATTTCTCTTCTTTCTCTAAAGTAAAAGTGAAGACAGAACTGTCTGACATGCCAATACCACAATGATCTTTTCTGGAAGAAGAGATCCCTTCACTGCAGTCAGGTAAAGAGTGGTTAATAAAGTCATTAATTTTACTGTCCTAGAAGTATAGGAATGGTTTAAAAACAGGAAGAAAAATCTCTTAATAGTGGGATTACTTTTTTTTTACCCTCAAAAACCAAATATAGCTCAGACCAGAACTAACCCCCAGACCCACAACATGATACGATATGATCTAGGCCTAAGGATGTAAATAGGTTACTTGAAAGTAGATAGAACCGATCACCTCCCCTTAGACCAAACTGGAAAGTTCTCAATAAAGGATGAAATGCATCAGGCTGTACCACACATAAACTTTTCAAACATAACATTTTTTACCAAGTGGTTCAGCATACAGCACACATTAATTCCTTCACACCTAAAGTCATTTAGCATTTAAGAAGTTGTTCAAACATGTTTCTACAAAGCAAACTATTGTGCTCACCTACAGGTATTAAGTACGGCAATTTACTTCAATCTAGCACTCATACAATAAATTAGACTAAAATAGCACAGTAGTCTCATTTGTAGGGCTCACCACAGAATCAGTCCAAATGATCTTAAAATCATCTCTCCCAGTACATCAAATGCAAAGAACTGACTTAGTTTAATTTGACCTGCTGACTCAAGAGACTGATTAACTAAAAAAATAAACATTTTATTCCTTTCTTTTGAACTTCCCGCTATCTTGGCTAGCTTTGGAAGTCTTTCTTTGCCAATGTTGGTAAAGACCAGCTAGTGATTCAAATGGAGAGGGTCTTCTCCCCTACCTTGGCAAAGAGCTGCTGTTATCTAGTGCAAGGACAGTATGTTCTGGCTGTTTCTAAACTGTGAAGGAAACAGAGCCCTCCCTCAGTTTCCCAGGGCTTTCAGTATCTATATTGTATTAATTAGTATACTGTTTAAATCATATATTGGTTTTTATTCTTGCTTACTACACATTACACTAGCTTGTCAGCACTTTGACTTCTTTTCCTGTCAGGTTCTGAAAGTTTGATTCTGACCTTAGGCATATTCTAATCTGGTTAAAATTATATTTTATAGTCATCACAATCCCAATTACCGCCAACATAGGTTAATGACTAAATGCAAGGGTTCACTGAAATAGCATAGGAAATGTGTAGTGGCTATCTCTAGTACCGATAGCACAGAGCAGTGAGGAGCACTCAGATGCCTCAAAACAGCTTCCAGGTCCTCCCCGATGGCCTCAGGGAACCCGCCAGCCCCTGGGTCAACATGTCATTCTGTCAGAAAAGGTATTGCCACCAGAGCAGTAACTGATTGACACAAGCAACTTTTGGGGTCTGGAGAACAAGTCTTATGAGGAGCAGCTGAGAGAACTGGGGTGGTTTAGCCTGGAGAAAAGGAGGCTGAGGGGAGACCTCGTCGCTCTCTACAACTACCTGAAAGGAGGTTGTAGCGAGGTGGGTGTTGGTCTCTTTTCCCAAGTAACTAGTGATAGGACGAGAGGAAACAGCCTCAAGTTGTGCCAGGGGAGGTTTAGATTGGACGTGAGGAAAAATTTCTTTACTGAAAGAGTGGTGAAACATTGGAACAGGCTGCCCAGGGAAGTGGTCGAGTCCCCATCCCTGGACATATTTAAAAGACGTGTAGCTGAGGCGCTTAGGGACATGGTTTAGTGGGCATGGTGGTGTTGGGTTGACGGTTGGACTTGATGATCTTAGAGGTCTTTTCCAACCTTAATGATTCTATGATTCTATGGTGATACTGGGGATTTCTGATAGCTTTCAGGAAAAATACACAACATTTTTGTAAGCCATGCCTTACTGAAGCCTGATCTCAGGGTCAGTGTGGGGATGGCTGACTCTGATCACCATACTTCCTCTGACATGACAGTGCTTGATTCAGTACTGCTAATGTCATTTGAGCAGGTTGAGCCTGCATCATGTATAATTCTGACAAAAGGGACATTATGTGACATTAAATTGCCTGTCAGACAGAGCAGGGAGAGGCACAGCGTGAGGGAGTGGCATATTCCAGTGATCTTTAAAAGCCAGGAATTCCTGAAATCTCCTCCTGAGGTATGACGGCCATGCTGGTTTTGTCCTCAAGCATGTCACTCATTGTTCTCTTCAACAATCTGGAGATGATAGTTGGCTGGCAGGATGTTGTAATTTAATTTATTAGTAAAATTAATTAAAGAGCAGGGCTTTAAGTCATGAAAGCTTTATGAAAACCAAGTGCTATTGTAGGTAATCTCTTTCTAGTGGTCTCAATTTGTTTCACAGCAGCAATTACGACAAATACCCACTGGATTTTTTTTGGTAGTTTGAGTCCCATGTCTTTTCTGCTAAGGTTACAATCTTTCTTATGGAAATCTGGTTTTAAGGAAAAGAAAAAGACAAAAAAATCCACGTTAAAACCATACTGTTAATTATAACCGATATTACCTTTTTAAAGCAGTTTTACATTTAACATTTTGACAGGCACCTTTCACCAGTTGCTGTACAGTGAATACTTATTTCATCAGCTAGACCACACTGGAATCCACAGAAGGATCCACTAAGAAAGTTAAATATTCTCTCTCTCGTATCCAGACAGTCAGAACAAGAGCGAAACATTCTGGGGAAGCCACACGGCACATTACTGACTTACAACATTTATCAATGTTAGATGACTACATTAGGCTTTTATGTTAGCAGACATAAAGGAGTAGTTAAAATAGCACGTTGAAACAGTCATTTGGTTCTCTGAAGTGGAGACAAAACTGAAGATAAAGCAAGTCATTTGTTACCATGAATAAGGTCTATGCAGCTTGCTACGTGAGAGCATTTAAGAAAGGATCTTAGTAACAGGTATGGCATTACTTCACTATCATCAGGGTCAAAAAATGTATCCTCCCCATGGTTTTTTGCTGTGTTTCTGTCCCAGGGATAGCTCTGTTTCACCCACAGCAAAATGATTTCTAGTGCACATATGAGAACAGCCACTCTAACAGATCTCTCAGAACAAAGACAATGGCTGAAATCTGATTTCACTGATTTTGAGAGTTGCTGAGCACTCACCATTTCCACTGATACCAGTAAGAGATGAGGATTTTAAATATCAGTCCCTAGGTTCTTATTTGGAGCCCATCTATCACAGATATTGCTACTTTTACTCTTTTTATCCCATGAGTTCCGGGCTGGGAAGATGAATAATTAAAATGACTTTTTCAGTCAACTTTTGTCTCCGCATTACCGACCTTTTCAGATGGTTCATT